TAACAAAACTCATCTGACGAAAAAGTGTTAATGTAGTATATTAATATGGAGTATAAATTTTACTAATTAATTTACTTTTACTTTACTAATTAAATGCTTTCCAAAAAACGATACGCCACTGGCCATTAGAACAATCGAAATGCTCCTAGTTGCCGGGGTCGGAAATTTTAGACTTCTCTGTCTCTTCTGTCCTTGTTTGACACATTGGAATGTTTGATACACTACCAACGAGTATTTATGAATGAGATGTTCGGTCTATCTTTATAATGTCTTTGGTCTGCTTCCTGATTGCCCACCACATTGCTGTGGCCTGGCACCCAGCACAGAGTGGCCCCGCCTCGACGCAGCCAGGACAGTGCTTCTCGGCATTCCATCACGGTTTTCGATCTCACTGATTGCATGGTGATGCTTCTTACAGCGGCCAAGTATATCACTATCACCCCTATTGGTCTATCAGCAATTTTCTCTCGTATACAACTAGCCGCTTCCTTTATGGCGTAAACCTCTGCTTGTAGAACATTACAGCCATCCGATAGCCTCAAAGATCGTCGGATGTCTAGTTTCTCTGAGAAGATGCCTATACCTGTGCCCCCTGAATTTGCGGAAGCATGTGTAGACTGCTATCTCTTGAGTGTTCATTACTCGGTTGCTTTCCCATTCTTCTCTTGTCGGGATGCGAATCCTTATCTTTTCTCCAAAATCATGTTTGGTGAGCATATAGTCCGTTTTTTGGTCTAGCAGATGTGGACTCGTGTTTACCATGATACCTATCACTGGCAATATCCTCGAGTGACCGTAGTTGGTCTGGTTCCACAGATTGGATTCTCTTAATCTTAGGGCACCCTTAGCAGCCAGATCCTTCACGAGCCAGTCGATTGATTGCAAGTCCAGAATTGCTTCTAGCGCAGCTTGCGCTGTGTTGTTCCTTGCTCCAGTTGTACCTAGAGCTGCTAATCGCTGTACTTTTGTGAGGCTTTTTCTATTAGTCTCTTTAAGTACCGCTTCCCACCATACTAGTGCTCCATAAGTGATGATTGGTCTAACTATAGCAGTGTACATCCAGTAATTAGATTTTAAGCGCATACAAGATTTTCTGGGCCTACAAAGCTTGATGTGACAAGAAACATTTTTTGTAAATCAGTTTCGGAAAAATGGTTCTTAAAAGTGTTTTTCTCGAATAAATTTCTCAGATCTTATGACATAGAAAAATCTAAGATTTTCCTTGATTTAAGTAGGAACAATCTTCGGATTGTCACTCGGTTTTTAACAACTCTCTTTTTGTCTCCTCAACGAACACCTCACTAGATTGAAGCTAAAAAACAACAGCGAATGCAGATTCTGTGGGGAAAATAGGGAAACACCAGAACCTCGTATTACACCTCATTACTGAGTGCACCGAGACGACCATTTCATTCAACCATTTATGACATGAACTTTAGGACGATTGATATCAGGGATGTAGAACTAACCTCTGTAAAACCGTCTCAGATACTGGCTTTATCAAAGTCCCGAGACTGTATGATGAATTATAACTGAAGAAAAGGGGATACAATAGATCTGTAAGGTCGCGGTGATTAACCGCCTTCCCATGCCATTGTACATTCTATAAAAGTATTTATTTTTTAAAGCTTAAAGCCCTCTAGCGGACAAACGAAGTACTTTTGTACAGAGGTAAGTTGTGGCCAGCAAACTTATTTACATTCCAAAAATACGTAGTAATTCTGTCCACGGAATATTGGGACACCCCATATAATAAAATAATAAATAAATAAATAAAAATAGCGATCGGCCTAACATAAATTATTATCATCCCTTATCATTTCATAAGCCACTATGATGCTGTTTTTCGATCATAGATATAATTTTACATATAAAATAACAGATCTTTATTTCATAGCTATCGCTGACGCCGTTTTTTTTTTATCATACGGTATAATTCATTAAGCACTTGCCGATGACATCTTGGCAGCTAAAACTATCCGTATATACATTTTCTCCTTCGACAACTCTTTTAAAATAAAAGTCCAAAGCCGTCAAATAACTTATGAAGAATACTAATTTAGAAAGTAGATATCTATTAACCATACAGTACAAATTGTCGTTTAACTTTGAATATTGTTCTATTTATTAAAATTTGTAAATTATAGAGTTGCTAAATTTAGATTTCCCCAGAGAATATCCGAGATCCGAGATACGCCCAATGCATAATTTTATCACATAATATTCAAAATAACTTCTATGAATAACACTAAATGTATTCACCATTTTGTCATGTAACAAATTCATAACATTAAAATGCAATGTGGCAGAATGTGCTGTCCTGAGAAATTATAATAGAGAATTTTATATTTATCGTACCACTATCGGCTATCGTACGATGGTATTTGTATTGTATCGTTATTATAATGGTATATTTGAATTTATTGTATTGTATATTATTAAAAAAGTTGTTTTACCCTTTTATAAAAAATGCATTTGGGTTTTACAAATTCTGCAGATAATGTGAATGTAATTTATTTTATGGTGGTGGTGGATATCTACAAATTTACATATTATATTGTGTAAAATATGTTTTCAGAGATTAAATATATAATTACTCTTATTTATTTAGTTCTTTGATTTAGTTAATAATAATGGAGCAATGCCTTCTATTAAAAGATCAGCCCACGGGCGGACTTTTGTTTACTTCATCAGCTGTACATACTTAGATATTGGGTTAGATTCCGTTTCATATTTTGTCGGTTGATTTTTGGTTTTAACTCTTTGATTTTTGGTATTATTTATTATTGTAGTGCAAAAAACTAATTATTTTGGTGTTGAAGTGACAAAACTACTACCAGATATATGGTCACTCTCGGTTTCGCATAAAAAAATAGAAATTTTAAAAATTACACGTTGTGCAAGTGATTTAACCTAAAAGTGCCCATACATTTTTTACTTATCGTGATTTTTGTGTGTGTTTTTTAAGACTCTAACAATTCATCAATAAAGCTTAAGTGGAGTGTGTTATTGGTGCTATGCCTCATCTTTGTTGTGTTCCTGGTGGAAAGGATAGTTACTAAGGATAGTTATTATACTAGGCAGCCTAAAGTGTCCGGAAGAGCAAGAAAAGTGGGTACGAGTTATAAATCAAGAGAATTTTATTGAAAATATCTTTAATAAATTTAAAAATAATATTCTCCCATGATGGTATTAATGAAAACTGGACAATTATGTTTATTTTATTCATATTGTGGAATCTCCACTCCAAGTGTTGCTGGTTCAGCTTCGATAGATTCAAACACGTAAGTAGGTATTATGATCTAGGGAAAAATAAAGAATATGTGTATTAGAGATCATGAAAAAGATTATTATTTTGAGTTCAAATTTTAAAAAGATTTTTGTAAAGACAAGACTGATACAGTTTAAAAGAAGAATGTGTTTTTGTTTGATAATATATAATGTATGTTAAGCATAACATATATTTGTTCAGTAATTTTTAATGAATAGTATTGATTATTTATAATACCAAATTAATATCAAATATTTAAGTGATGGCTGAATACAATATGAATAAAATAACAATAAAATTGGTATATTTGCATAATACAAAATTAAGTTTTAAGAATAAAGGTGTTACTAAAAATACTAAGAAATTCATATTTCTTGGTTTTAATTGGTCTAATGTTATTTACATTTTACGTAAGAATTATACCGTATCATCGAAAAAATCGGCGTCTAGTTGGCTTGAAATGAACATCGATGCCATTCCCTAAATAACTGTACACATAAAATAATTAACTAGAATTTTACAATCTTGGAAAATTTGATATTCTTGAACCTTGATTCTAAATATTCTAATTTTTGATTTTCTTGGAATTTAGGTGAAAAACGCTGATTGATTTTTCATTTGGTTTTTCATTATTTTTATTTGGTTTAAAAAAAAACGGTTCGGCTAACACTATAGCCTCCATCAGTGTTGTGTCATATGAAAAAATAGTGTCGAATATAATCCAAAAAATTGCATATAAAATATTCACACCACGCACATAATGTTTACTGCGTACTCCATAGTCAATGTAGATAATTTTAGTGTTAAGAATAATAATTTTAAAAATATGTGGTCATCTTTTGATAAGTTTATATTAGTTTATTAATTGCAGTAAACATTATGAGGTGTGAATTATATTGTATATGTAATTTTTTGGATTATATTCGACACTATTTTTCTCATATGACACAACACTGTGAAGGCTATAGTTAGCCGAAACGTTTTTTTTAAACCAAATAAAAATAATGAAAACCCAAATGAAAACTTAATCAGCGTTTTTCCCGAACCTAAAAATCCCAAGAAAATCAAAAATTTTAGAATAATTTAACATCTTTTATTAAACATTATACAAAAAAAAAATAATATTATTTTTTTTTTGTATAATTATACATTTAGCGATCTTCATTTCATAGCCATCGCTGACGCCTTTTTTTAGATAATATTGTATTATTTGTAAATATAATTTTTCGAACATTGATACTTGCAAAATATACATATAAATTTTGTGAATGCAAATAATAATACATCACTATTAGTAGATATTAAATGTTTTTTGTTAAATTAGATCGATTTTCAAACCCCAAAATTTAAAATATATTTACATTTTACCCATTATCTTATGTACCTATACATTATTTGTACATTGTAAAACATTTGCTGCATTTGTATGGTTCATAGTTTATTTGCCAAAGTATTTGTTACTATAAATAGGTATATATGTTGTAGTTATTAACTGTATATTATGTATATTTCATTTAAACTATATCATTTTTAAAATACAAACCAAAAATCTGAGGAATAATTATGTTTTCCATGTATTCTACAACATATTTATTAATCCGTTATATCTAACTAGCGTGACGTCATAAATCTCGCCCGTAGGCTGATCTTTTAATAGAAGGCATTGAATGGAGATACCCTGAGATACCACTTGAATTGTTATGCAACCAGTTAAACACCTCTGTTAAACACAGACGAATTGTCAATGTCAAACAAAATGTCATGTCACTAACCTCTTCGTTTTCAAACGTTTGTTTTTATTTCAAGCTGTTTAAATATCGCTTAAAATATCTTAAGAATATATACAATTATGGCCTCTGATGCGATTCAAGTGAGTTCATTACCTCTACCTCCCATGCAATATGTCAGCCAATACACAGACGAGCTTATTCGCAAAGGTAGAGCCCCAAAACCTCCGCCTCCTATTCAGGATACCTATCATATGTTTGGAAACACTTTTAATACGGAAGAGAATATTATTAGACCTTTAGAAAGCCAGGTAATTTATTTGTGTATATTGTTCTACTTATTCTAATTAGTTTTATGTAGCAGAGATTAATATTTTATGCGATTAAATCTTGGCTTCATAAAAATTATGTTGTGCAAATATTACAGAGAAGTATATCAAATATTTTGTAAATTTTTAGGGCATAAAGAGATTATATCCACAACATTTTGATAGAAGACGGGAACTAAAAAAGCTCAATCAATCATTACTAGCAAATTTTTTAGATCTCTTAGATTTACTAGTAAATTGTCCAGATTCTCCTAAACGGGCTGAGAAAGTCGAAGATTTGAGTTTACTGTTTATTCATATTCATCATTTATTAAATGAATTTCGACCACATCAGGCTAGAGAAACATTAAGAGTAATGATGGAGCTACAAAAAAGGCAGAGGATAGAAACGGCTAACAGGTAGGTTTAGAATTATAATTTTGTAGTGCAATCAGTATTGAAATTTATTTATATAGGTTTCAGAAGCATTTAGAGAAGGTAATGGAGATTCTTCAACAAGCAATTCAAAATCTTCCAGAACCGATGGAGTTAGATTCGAAAATAATGATAGAAACTGATTTAATTGTTCGACAAGAAAAAATGGACAAAAATGACACTAATATTGATCCCTGTGATATTAAAGATAGAATAATGTGTAGTATAGTAGATAATATGCAATAGTGATAAATATTAAGAAATTTTTGCATTGTTTTTTTATTATGATTTCTATACATATGTTCTATAAGCAAATATTATAAATTTTCAACAGTACCTACTGAATAATTTAGATTATTTAATCATGAAATAAACATGTGGGCTTACGGTCAAATAAATTATATTTTGTACAATAAAAGTAATAAGTAGAAAATTAACAGTAACTAATAATACCACAAAAGATTTTTATTGTTCCAGAAAAAGCAGAATATCAGGTTTCTGGATTGAGATATTCAATCATTTTTATAAAACGTGCTGCCGATACATCTGCATAGTACAGCTGCCTACATTTCGGAAATGTCTATCAATATATAAGGTTTCAAACGATACAGGGTGTTTCAAAAAAACATGTGCCATCTCCCATCTTTCGTGAGGAGATTTCTCATGTAAAAATAAGATTTATTTTTCATATCAACATAGGTCCGATTCTGCTTGGTTTTGTGGTTATAGGGTGGTCAAGTCTTAATATTTTTTTCGATTTATTATAATTTTCTTCCAAGTACTTTTAGCATTTCGAATGAAATTTTCAGGGTAAAAGTTACTATAAATGCGACATATATTAAAACTAAAAAAGTATTGACATATTCACCAGGGACGTGCATACAGGTTATCACTGGAATATTATCGACACTTTTTTAGCATTAAAATATGTAGCACTTGTAACTTTTACCCTCAAAATTTCATTTGAATCACTAAAAGTACCTACGTGGAAGAAAATTATAATAAATCGAAAGATTATTAAGACTTTAACACCATGTAGCTACGAAAATAAAACAGAATCGGATTTATGTTGATATGAAAAATACATCTTATTTTATTTTTACGTGAAGAATCCCCCCACGAGAGGTTGCACATGTTTTTTGAAACACCCTGTATACAGGGCTTCAAACATACAGGGTGTCCCAATATTCCGACGACTACGTATTTTTGGAATCAAAATAAGAAATAAAATAAATATTATAGGTACCTATTCGACAAAATTTACTTCCATACAAAAAAGTGCTTCGTTTGCCGGTTAGAGGTCATCAAACTTTAAAAAAATTAAGATATTTTAGGAACCGTTATTCCGAGTTGCACTTATGTACAGTACGTCTGCTGGATCTGTGTCTATGAAAGGAATGCGGACAAAAAACATTTAAATAAACAGCAATATATTTTATACGTCGACATGACGAGTACGTCACCGCAAATCGCTCCGCCCACTCATTTTATTGGCTACTTGCAAATTTGTCGAATTTTTATTGATGGGACGCGTCATCTAATTTTTTACGAAAAACATCGAGAGAATATCGTTTCCCCTCTCACGAATACCCCGTAGCTACAGAACGGGGGGACAGAGACGTACTGTATACCTACAGGTAAATTATTGTTTCCAATGAACTTATTTTGATTTGAGAAATACGTACTACGTAGTAGTATGCATTCGGATAGAGAGTCCTACTGGTGGTACTTCTTTTATCCTATTGTTACGTTTTTCGTCGGTTCCGTGTGGATAGAGTGTCACAATTTATTTAACACTAATTTACAAAAACAATAACAATAAAAGACTTAAAGAACTATTTACAAACGATTTACAACTCTTTATCTAGAAAGAATTTATTTTGAATTTAGCGCGTCAACTGTACTCGTTGGTCTATTTATATCTGTCCCCTTTACGCCCCTGCCGCCGGCTTTTATACCCACAGCTAAAGATTGCTCGAATAGTCCATAGATCGTTAGGTGCATAGAGAAGGTTTCGAATGTTCTCGTATGTAGGTACTACCACAGAATATCTAGCTACGCAACAGAAGCCTCGTTACATGTATAAAATTGTAGGTAGCAAAAGGAGACAGGCTTTAAAAGTCTGTCTCCAAATCAGATATTTTGATGTGCTAGTTTCGCTACTACATAATAGAGGGCAATAAATTTAAAAGAAAACAGTTTTCTACAAACAAAATTTAAAAGAATTTTGTGCAGTATTGCCAATGTGTAATTCATATCGTAATACGTCCTGATAAAGCCTACCTTCAAATTTGCTATATCATTTAAACATTTTAAAATAGATCAGAGCTGTTTTTTTCAGTTTCCATGTTAGTTGGTATTAAATCTTATGAGCTAAATTACAATCACTTCCTGACGTTTGATTGTATAATTGAATCCTGAATTTTCATTGTAATTCGGCGACAATATAATAAGTATTGTTCTACTATTATGATACCACTTCCTGACGTTCGATTGTGTTTATACCAAGTTTATACCAAGTTCATATTGTATAATCGGGAAAAAACGGCGTTAGCGATAGCTATGAAATTAATATCACTGTCATTTTATATGTAAATTTATATGGGAAATGACATAATATAGTACTATATTACGATACATGGCGTTCGATTGGGCTTAAACTTGGTATACTATATCTTCAGCACCATGGAGCATACAAAGTGGTACATTCTATAGTACCATATTTGATGACATAGCAATATTAGGTACATGGCGGCAATAGGGCTTAAACTTGGTATACTACCTATTTTCGGTGACATTGTAATATGATGCATATCATCTCGTACCATAATATAGTACCATATTATGTACATGGCGTTCGATTGGGCTTAAATTTGGGATACTACGTATCTTCGGTGATATTGTAATATTATGGTACCATGGAGCATAATAAGAGGTACCATAATATAGTACCATATTACGATACCATTTCCTGGCGTTCGATTGGACTTAAACTTGTTATACTACGTATCTTCGGTTACATTGTAATATGATGGTACTATGATGCATATAAAGTGGTACCTTAATATAGTACCATATTTCAATACCATTTCCTGGCGTTCGATTGAGCTCATATTTGATATATACTTGCGTATTTTTGATGACATTGCATTATTATGGTACCATGAAGCATATCGACTGGTACCATAATATAGTACTATATTTCGTACATGGCGTTCGATTGGGCTTAAACTTGGAATACTACGTATTTTCGGTGACATTGTAATATGATGGTACTATGATGCATATAAAGTGATACCTTAATATAGTACCATATTACGATACCATTTCCTGGCGTTCGATTGGGTTCAAACTTGGTATACTACGTATCTTCGGTTACATTGTAATAGGATTGAACTATGATGTATATAAAGTGGTACCTTAATATAGTACCCTATTACGATACCATTTCATGGCGTTCGATTGTTCTTAAATTTGGTATACTACGGATCTTCGGTGACATTGCAATATTATGGTACCTTAAAGTATATCGAGTGGTACCATAATATAGTACACTATTATGATATCATTTCCTGGAGTTCGATTGGGCCCAAATTTGGTATACTTGCGTTTCTTTATAAAGATTTGTTTAATTAATAATTTTAATTTATTTTACGAATTTTAATTTATTGTTCGATGTCGTGACGGCAACTTTTATGCCGAACTAATATATTATTAATTGTACCTGTGTCACTTTTTAAAATCTACCTAGGTCTATATAAATTACGTGGCAAACGGAAGAAATTTGTTATTATAGTATTTTTTAGTCAGTTAACATTTTTTGTACTGCATTTTAATAAATTATTTCCATTATTATTAAACTTATATTTCATTACTAACGTTCCAGCATTAATAAATATCACTATCAATCGCCCTGTATATTATTAATTTTAAAAGTAATTAAAGGTATTTTCTTAGTTAACATTATAAGGTATAGTGTATATTAAAAATGTATATGTTTTGTAATAATATACTTAAAACTATTTTAATATTATACACAATAAAATTATATTATTATACACAATAAAAAGAATGGGATGCCAATTCAAGTCTTTTTGAATCTGGCAACTGTGCATATTTAGCCGAGCTATAAGGCCGTCGACGAGCCGTCGATCCAAAACCGAAAGTTCAAAATTTCTAATTATATTGTGATTATGATATTGTCGCGCCATCTAGTATTCTATTTGTGCAATTTTAGCTCTTTCATTTCGAGTATTTTTCTGTTGCGTAGCTAGATATTCTGTGGTACTACGTGGTCCGAACTGTATTCCGGAAACTTTGGCAGCATATTCTGCAGATAAAAATAAGTAAAAAATTTCGTATAAATGTATGTCTTAAAATGCACTTTTTGGAGATACAGGGTGTATAAATTTAATTTTTATTTTGATTTTTTCCAAATAATTTCTGAAGTCACGTCAATATTTGGATGAAAATTGGTGTCTAGGAGTTTTTTGACATTGAAATTTGATTTTGAAGTCAGTATGACTCCTACTTGTAGGGGGCGTCATTTACATGTTTTTAAACTGTTTTGAAGAGTAATAACTTTTCGTCCGTACTTGTATAAAACTACTGAGTAAAAAAATATACATTTACGTTTTTTAAGCAAAAAAGTCTCTTCGGAAAAATCGCTACATGTAATGGTTCTTGAGATATTTGGAATCGAAATTGTCGATACCTGTCATCATTGACATAAATTAAACATGTTAACTAAATAGTTATTGGATTGAAATCATAAATTTGAAAGGTTTTTGTGCCTTAAGTTCCACAGAAACTGTTTTATCATCATTTTTTCGCAAAAGAAATATGATTAATTTAAAAAAATAAAAATTTTCCAAATTTACTATTTCAGTCAAAGAACTATATATCTACTCAATATATGTTTATTTTTATTATATTATATTACTATTTCCATTCTAAATATCTTGAGAACGGTTGCTCGTAGCGATTTTCACCAGACATTTTTTACGTAGAAAGTCACGCCGGAGATGTATATTTTTTCACTCAGTAGTTTTATACAGGTACGGACGAAAAGTTATTACTCTTCAAAACAGTTAAAACTCGTGTAGGTGGCGGGCCCTACAAATAGGAGTCATTTTAACATCAAAATCAAACTTCTTATATCAAAAAACTCCCAGAAACCAATTTTCATCCAAATATTGACGTTACTTCAGAAATTATTTTGAAAAAATCGAAATAAAAATGAAATTTCTAAACCCTGTATCTCCGAAACGAAGCATTTTAGGACATACATTTATACGAACTTTTTTATTTATTTTTATCTGCAGAATATGCTGCCAAAGTTTCCGGAATACAGTTCGGCCCACCCTGTATACAGTAATTTCAACAGAACTTTTTTACATAAAAAAGCTGCTCTTCGTTTATTTCGAAATAGTGAACGGTTTTCAAGATATTTGCGTTTAAAAATTACAATGCAGCGATTTTAGTATTAGTGAAATGATAAAATTTAAAGAAATTTTAAATAAATTAATCTTCTGATTTTGCTAATTGCATCAGAACATTTAAACACAAATATCTTGAATACCGTTCCCCGTTTCGAACTAATTTTAGCACCTTTTTTACATAAAAAAGTCTTAGCTTTAATTTTCATTTGTTGAAATTACTGTCTCTATAAGGATAACAGAAGTACCACCAGTAGTATTCTCTACCCTAACGGAAAGTACCCTTTTAGGGCTCTCTGTTACGGAATTTTATCCTATCGCCATTCGCTTTAACATTAAAATGTGTGTAAGAGTACCAAACTTAAAAATAAACAAAATATGTTATTTTATGTAACATTTCGAGTGCTGTAAACTGTAACTACTTCGGAAAGCATTTTAGGGCATTATGTTTATAGGAACTTTTATTTTATTTTTATAACCTACCTAAGTTAGATACACTATTTTTTTGACACCCTGTATATCCTCGACTGTGTATCACCCTGTATATACAAATACGTAACGGTTATAGCAGTATCAGTCAAGAGCGTTTTGGAGATTAACTAATCGCAACATAAACAATAATTTTTTGATGAAATCAAAACATGTGTACAGCTGAAATAACTTATTTAGTTACAATTCATTTTATAAAGAGTTAAAATCGCTCGTTTTAAAATTAATTATTATTAAATAATGGTACAAAAGGAGGAAATAAAAATTATAATTGTTGGTGCTGGTGCCTCAGGAATTGCAGCCGGTACTAAACTTTTAGAAAATGGTTTCAATAACATAACGATTTTAGAAGCAGAGAATAGGATTGGAGGTAGAATAAATTCTGTTGAATTTGGAGGAAGTGTAGTGGACATTGGAGGACAATGGGTATGTATTCATAACAGCATTGGTATTCAACATAATCATTATTTTAAATATATGGTTAAATATACTGGTGCATTGTCGTTGAAAACAGGAAATCCTATGCAAATTTTGAATTATTCAAATATTGGTTCCCCTATTGACTATAGAGTTTATTCGATAGAAAATGACATTCTGAATAGAATGACATATCATATGTCACCCCTTTTGACATTCTCCTTTAATAAAAAATCGTATTTCAAATTCAATCTAGAGTGCCAAGGCTATGTTATAAACACTAATTCTTAATCAAGGAGCCTTGGAAAAATACATTTGATCGTGTAATGTTTTTAGTGTCTTGTCCTGCAAAGTTAGAAAATGTTCCAATCGTATTTTTAATCATATCTCAATTTTTTCAAACGGAACGAGGGTTGCTCATTAGCATATCTGGAAAAAATAATTTGATACCACACACTTGGTATTTCCAGTCAAATTTAATATCAATATGCGAAAATGTCAAAAATTGACATATGATATGTCATTCTATTCAGAGTGTTATTTTCTATCGAATAAAGTAAAAAAATACCGAGGGTGCCATTTAAAAATCAAAAGTTAAATTGTAGTCATTTCCGGTGAAACAGGAAGTGACCACAAACAATTGAATAAGCCAATCAATCCTAATTTATGTCATATACTCATATACCAAATCTAATTATTTTAACTGAAAAAAATAAAAAGTTATAGGGGTGAGCCACTTTTGAGACGCACTCGGTATTTTGCCGCGCTTAAGTAAATCCAAAAATCACAGCTTGGGTTTCCCTACTATAACGGTTTTTGGAGGAGGCGTGTTAATATTTAATGGTATAGGTATAATATTACTTAAATGAGCAATAAAAAATTGTAGATCTTTGTAATTGACTTTTCTAACCAAATGTTTAAAATGTCATTACGATTCAATATTCAGTGTTTTAACGGCTACTTAATACCTTGTTTTTTTTATTTCGATTTGTTAAATTGTTTTTAAATATAAGGTACAATGACAGTATCAGTATTTGAATATAATTATATTGACTATTATATTTGATACGAATTATATTTTAAATAACATTTTTAATTAGATGTTGTTTAAAATTTTATTTTGATTCAGAATATTGTTTTAACAACTACTTAGGTCCTATAAACATGGGTGTATTGGTAAAAATGGCAAAGACAATGTTGAATTTTGAAATAAAGTATTATCTTGAATTGACATTTGTTTTAAAATTTAAGTATAAGACTTTTTGATCAGTGTGATTATGATTATATCTCATCAATATACAAAACCAAATACTTTTTTTTATTATGATTAGCAATCAGAATAATTACAAAGAAATTTTATGGGCTACTTTGATGACTTGAGAGCAATGACACTCCAGTTAACTTACTCTCCTCCTTAATATTGTTTTAAATCAGATGGCCATTGTCTTTTAAATCTTCTTGTAGATACTGATTCAAAGTAAAGTCAGAGTAAGTAGGTAAAGTAAAGATTTGAAGTTAACGTCTCCTTTTTGCTGCCAGGGCTAATCTGGACGGGGCCTACTTTGTTTACACGGAATCCGAACCGCGGTCCTCGGCCATATCATGGTCAATGGCCTACCGACTTGGCAAGTGTCTAAATCGACTCTTACTCACGAGATATCCGACCTCATCCGGCCTCGAACCGGCGTGAATGAGCAGTGTATGTCAATAGATTTTACACTTTTGCCTTTTTTTGACAACAGCACGATACAGAGTTTCGAACCGGTCACCCGTCCATCCACTAGTATCGCCTTACGTCGCTTAACTTCGGTGTTCTAATCGGAACCGGTGTTTCGACGTAGCTGGGCCGTTGCCATACTGATTCAAGTATATTTGATGTACTAGCGCATCCCCAGAGTTCTGCTCCATATGTCCAAATAGGTATTATTATGGTTTTGCATAAAAGAAGTTTATTCTCAAGCGATATATAGTTGAGTTGAGATCTTCTTCCTATTTACTAATAAGTCTTATTTTTAAATCTATTTGTTTACGTTTGTTTACTATGTGATAAGCTTACTATCCAAGTGCATACCTAAGTACTTGGTGGAGGAAGACTGCGAAATTAGTATGTTGTTTAAGTATACTGGAGGGCACAGGTCTCTATTTAAAGTAAACGTTACTTGGGCCGATTTTGATGGATTCATTTTTATTTTCCAATCACGTAACCATGCCTCTTTTGCATTTAGATGTCTTTCTAAGATCAAGGAAGCTGTTTCCAGCTTTTTGTTGACAGCCATAATTACTCTGTATCTGCAAAAGTAGCTGTTGTTGTTTCATTGTTTGTGGGTAAGTGTGATGTATAAAGGACATAGAGTAGTGGTCTTAGGACACTGCCTTGTAGAACACCTGCATTTATGCTATAATTTGCAGATACATCCTCGCTTATTCTGACTCTAAACTCTCTACTATATAGGTAGGATTTCAATAGCGCAAAGTATGACATGAGAAGATAATTTTTAATTTTGTGAAATAGTCCTGTATGCCATATTTACGCTTACCCGTGCAATACTTTTTGTCCTCTAGAGCTTGAGTTATATTGCGAGTAATCCGATGTATCTGCTGAATAGTAGAATGTCTTTCTCGAAACCCAAACTGATGATGTGCTATTCAGTTTTCGGTTTTTGGATCTGAATTGGATCTTCGAAGTATCAGTCTTTCAAGCATTTTGGAAACTAATGGTAGCAAGCTAATAGAGCGATATGAGGGGACTCTGTTTAAATCTTTACCGTGTTTTGGGATCATTATAATTTCGGCTATTTTCAGCGATCTCGGCCAGAATTTCAATCTTATGATGACATTAAATATATATATGATAAGTACTAAGCCTTTCCTTAACTTAAATTATTAACCTAACTCCTTATTAACCAAATACTTAAAACTAAAAGAAGTATTGCCGTGCCAATCAATAATCGTATTTTTGTCATAGGTGCACGGAGAAAAGAATAATATAATATATGAAATGGTAAAAGATTTAGACTTGATCGCTCCATCTTCGTTACCACCAGACCCTGGAATGTCTTTTTTTCTACCAAACGGTACTTCGCCCGATAAAACAATTACTGACAAATTATTTGCTACAGCAATTAAGGTAAAGGACGATAAAGAAACCGCCTCCAGATACAGAGGAAACTTTGCTGAATACTTTACAACAGAGTAAGTCTGATGTTTTGTCAAAGATTTAATTAAATAGTTATCATACTTTTGTTAATTATTATTTACTTATTTTGAATCTTTCTTTTTTTTTCTTTCGTGTTATTTAACTTATATATAACACAAACAAATTGCTGAAAAACGAAACTACAATTCTAGCTGGAAAGTATTACTCAGATTAAAAAAAAACGCAACGGAAAAGTTTTTCATCAAAAATTTAAAGTGCCCTTTTTTATTTTTAGCCCTATTTTCATAATTTTTTAGCAAACTGTGTATAAATATATCTACTTTAATTATTAATTGGTACTACCAAAGAATATTCTAATACCTATATAATATTTTTTGGGACTACTCAGTTATTTTTTAAAAACTTTTGTATTTGGCTTATTATGCAGGGTTAATACAATTTTTGTTTTTTTACAATAACTTTACAACACCCTCTGCAATAATTTCGTGAGTAAATTTTTCTAAAACAATTATTTTTGATTAGAACTTAGAACCATGACTCCTTAGGCCAACGACCTTAGGACAGTGGTTTCCAACCTTTTTGTACATGCGCCCCTCTTTAAAAAATGAATTGTTGCGCCCCCTTAATATTTCTAACAATCTAATTTCATAAATACTCAACTGATATTATAATTTATTTAATGGGCTACAAAATAATATACAATATTATGTAAAAATATACATAAAAAGAGAATTATTTATAAATAAGAAATAATAATTTTAAATGTAATAAAAACAAATCTTACAAAAATACAAAAAAAAAGAATGTAATATAATTAATACAATATAAAAAGTTTTGGGGTTTTTAACTTTTTTGGTTGGTATTAGGGACTATAATAAAAAAGAAGAATAATATTATTGGGCAAACCTACCGTAAGATTAGCCATGAAACATGGCTAAAATACGACTACCCATAGAGACTTAGTGTTTCTGCCTTCCAGCTAATCTTACTGTGGGTTTGCCCAATAATTTCATTCTTCTTTTTTATTATAGTCTCCACGATAACATACCTACGATAACATCTTTTGTTTATTGTTTTCTCTGGGCCAAGGTGATAGCGGCGAGGTATGTTGAAGTACCTCCGCAGCGGTTTTTTGGTAGTAACGCTTGCGAATTGTGAGCTACTGCTTAACCAGGTTGTAAATGGTGCCTAGTGCCTCGTTTGCCTCCCCTTTTTTATTTTTCAGGATCGCTAGTTCATCATTGCTGATTCCTCCCGTATTGATGAAGCTGGAAGACAGAAACACTAAGTGTCTACGGGTAGTCGTATTTTAGCCATGTTTCATGGCTAATCTTACTGTAGGTTTGCCCAATAATTTCATTCTTCGTCAATACCTATTTTCAGATTTCAGAACAGTTCTCGTATTTTTAATATTTTTTTTTAAGAAAGGCTAAAAATTTCAATTTTTTATTTATTTATTAATAGGTATCTCTGAAACTATCGAAATGTATTTATTCATATCTTAAGATTATGTAAAGCGATCCGAAAGGAAGCCAAAAATGCAAGAATATACAGGGTGTTTATTTAAAAAAATCATACCAATCCACTCGCACTTTTTTAAGCCATCATGTAGAAGTTAAAATATTTTCCTAAATACTTCCAAATACTTTACATACTTACATACATACTTTAGGTTTGCACTTAAACAATATTACCATGTTTTTTTATTCTAGGAGCTACAAATGCCCGACGCACTATTGCCGAACCCTGTATAGTAATTTTACGAACACCTATATATATTTATCACGTGTATATTTATCTTAATTGTTATCTACCAGCTCTAGTGTCTACAGTTGATTTACAGTATAATGAAATTAATTGAAAATCCCAAAAACGTACCATTTGTATACAAATATATACATATAATAGCAAACCTATATTATTCTAGATATAAGAAGCGAGTGAAAGAAGATTTCTTCCCAGCAGATGAAGATATTTTGCAATTGTCCGATTTAGTGCTAGACTGGTTCAAAAAATTCATGATCCTCCTAAACCCAGCTGAATCCTGGAACCAACTGTCAACCACGAGTCATTACGTTTTTCAGCCATGCGAAGGCGATCCTCTGTTGGGATGGAAAGGCAAAGGTTACAAAACAATCATTGATGTCATGAAAGTATGTTTAGTAACTCAACATATATGCAATAATTTTATCAATAATTTGCTTTAGAAAAAAATTCCCGACCCTTCCAAAGAGCTACCAATCGATAATAAGATTATTGTTAATAAGGAAGTTAATAGGATCATTTGGAATAGAAGTACCGATGATAAAGTTATTGTTAAGTGTTCTGATGGTTCTAAATATTCTGCTGATCATGTTATTGTGACGGTATCTGTGGGGGTGTTAAAAGACGTATATAAAAAAGTATTTGAACCAGCATTGCCCAATAAAAAGGTAAGTATTTTAGGTAGTCATTTATTGTTATAATTAAAAAATTATCTTAGAGAACCACAGATAGTTTCGATAGTTAGATAAGTTAAACGATATTTTTAAGATAAAGTAGGCAGATAAATTGGAGGATACAAGTCTTTTTTTTGGTGTTACAACAACAAAATATAACATTTACTTACCACAAGCAGAAAACTTTACTTTTAACACTGAATTCGCGTTTTGCTAACCATGTTAGCATTATCATCAGATGATTAAAACTGAGTTCAGTTTTGATGCTAGATGCTAACAACTATGTTAGCAAACGTTCGTGCAGTATTAGAAGTAAAGGATTTCGGTATATTTTGGTGAATGTGTTTACATTTTCATGATACTCAATACACATAAATTTCAATTCCGCACTATATCTCTATGCACTATATCTATTAAGAATATCTATGTCAACTCTAGGTCAACGCTATTGAAAATGTACCACTAGGCACTGTTAATAAGATTCTTTTGAAATTCCCTTACAAATGGTGGCCAAGTACCGTAAAAGATATAAGTTTTCTGTGGTCAGAAGAGGACAAAGAAAGCTTACGAGAATTTTCGTCTGGACCTGTAGTTAATGGAAGGTAATTTAGATCAGTTAAATGAATTATCTGTTATAAGATTTTTTGTTTAAGCTATTCGATATTTTCGGCAATTTATTTTAGATTATACAGGGTGATTCTTAACCTATAACACATAAACCTGGGAAATTATTGCTGATGACAAATAATGACTAATAATGAAAAAAAATATGTCAGTAAAATATTTTTAGATTCTGAAATAATTTGAGTTTTTTTTCACAAAAATTTATCAACTTTATCAGTAAATGCACATTCAATTTAATGGAATTTACGTTTTTTGTTTTTATTTCAAATAGTTTGTTATCTCCGTAAATAAAAATATTTAGTGCACATTCAATTTAATGGAATTTACGTTTTTTGATTTTATTTCAAATAGTTTGTTATCTCCGTAAATAAAAATATTTTACTAACTTTTTTTTTCATTATTAGTCATTATATTTGTCATCAACAATAATTTCCCAACTTTATGCGTATAGGTTAAGAATCACCCTGTATAAAGTATTTCAAGTTATAAAATGATATAGTATAATATTATGAACCAACTGTCAACTACTTCTCTATAAATTTACATTATCCATTGATCTTTCTCCATTAGTTATTATTTTTATCCACATTGCTTTTGTGCCAAAAACCGAATAATTTCTCCATAAAAGCCTTATGGGTATTTTGCCACTGTAAGGAAATCTATAAAATAAAATAATTATTTTTGTAAACACTGCTGCGTTAATCCAACGGAGACTAATAATTGTCAGCAGTGGTTTACTAATAAACAAATTTGCCTAACGGACAAAAAAATATTTAACGTTTCAGGAAGTATATCTCTTTCCGTCGCGCGTCGTTTGAAGCAAAAAAAAGCACAAAGAACAAAGAAGAGAAACTAGCTAAAATATCTAAATGCAACTATTCGAGAACACCTTAGTTTATTTCAAACACATAGGTACGTCTATAAAAACAATTGACGTTCTGTTAAAATTACATTATAATATCAAGTTTAACTTCAAAATTAACAATTACTACCTGATAACAATTAATTACTTAATAAGGTAAAACCAAAAAGCTTCAAAGCTTACAATCTGTATGATTATTTTTTTATATTTACTTATGTTCTTTAAAATCAAAGAAGCGATTGCCATATATTACTAACTTCTACATATGCATAAGAAATACATTTACTTTTGTTATAGGCTATCGCTTCTTTCATTATAATTTTTGCGTGGTTAAAATCTACTTTGTGCCCTGCATTCCATGAATGCTGACAAATCTTAAATTTGTGAAAATCTCTCTTTCTTAGATAATCTTTATGTTCTTTAATTCGAACATTCATTATTATTTTATTATTTGTTTATTATTTAGCATTATTATTAACTTCTCTACCGTAATAAAAGAAAAACATTTTTTATATTTTAGATCATGGTTAGAGAATCTCTTTAGCTTCATTGCTATAGATAGCCATCCAAACGTATTGCTTGGATGGGTCAATGGGCCTACGTCAAAATTAGTAGAGTTACTGCCCGACGAATCTGTTATTAGCGGTGCTATGTATATGTTAAGAAAGTTTGCAGGAAAACAATTTGATATTCCAGAACCTAATGGAATTTTAAGGTATGCCGATCAATTTGTTTAAAAAAAAAATATTTTAATATTATATTTTTTATTATTTTATACAGGGTGGGTCTTAAATAGGTGCAAATATTTTCAGGGCTGGTAGATCTTAGAAAAATTTCCTCTTCACCGTTTTCAAATAAGTCCAAAATACCCAAGATATGTTACATTGAAAATTAAAAAAAAAATCTGCTTACATTTTGAGAACCGCTGGATCTTTACTGGGTTTTCTTTCTTGTAAATTGAATCTACTACCTATGTTGCCGTATTATGTTTAACTAAAAATTAAAAAAAAATCAAACATCTTTTCAAAAAATTGGGAACTTTCATTTTTTTTCGCGAAAAAACCTTATAGACGTGTTTCTCGGGTCGACTAAGCTTGATTTTCATGCGTCCGTTAACCGTCGATACGATGGACCGACGGCGCCGGCGCGCGGCGCTCTGATTGGTCATAGCATTTTTGCGCTACTTTTCATCCGTAATTTTTTTACTCCAGGAGAAAGATCGTGCGATAACGGACGTTTTGATATTTTTTTGTTAAATTTAGTCTAAACGCGCGTTTTGATATTTTTAGTACACCAGTCTCACGACTGGTGTACTTGACAAACATTTGTTATTGGAATATACTTGCCATGTCGTGAGAACGGTTTCCTTGGTCACTGGTCGCGTCCCCACTCTCTGTCGGTAAACATAGCCAGAGTCAAACGATTAATCGTACACTTGCCAAGTGTACTTGGCCAGCCTTGTTGACACTTGCCGAGGCGCAAAAAAACAACTGCGCAAATAATTGTACTGTTATAGCGTATGTCCGATTTATTTCCGGATCGTAGTGTTTTTCGAGTTAATTGCGGATAATTTAAAACGTTAAAACAATAATAGATTATGTAATATCAAATTTACATTAATAACTTCAATATTGGCGGCAACTAAATCGTTCCCACAGCAATAAATGGAAGACTACACGGGAAAAACCAGATATGTTACATTTTCATAGAAATTAAGATAGCGACGTTGAGCGATACAACTTTATGGACAAATATTAGCGTCATTCGAGAAAAAAGAAAGAAATAATACTCTTAGTCCCAGAGATATTACAGCTCGGTTATTTTGCCGCACAAAGGAAAAACCAGAGTAGTCCACGCGTAAATGGCAAAAACCAGAGATGTACTGACGCATGGGCGACAAGCATACATCTTGCAATTAGTATTATATATTATAAATTTCTAAAAAAATAAGACAGCGGCTGGCTCAGATGAAATTCCTGCAGAAATCCTTAAACTCCTAGATGAAAGAGGCATAACAGCACTACATAGAGTATTTAACACTATATATGAGACAGATCACTACCCCAAACAGTGGTTGCGTTCTACTTTTATCCCCCTGCCTAAGAAGACCAATGCCAGAAACTGTGAAGATCATAGACTTATCAGCCTGATGAGCCATACCCTAAAAATATTTCTGAAAATCATACACCAGAGAATTTACAAAAAATGTGAAAGGGACATAAGCGATTCACAAATGGGGTTCAGGCAAGGGTTAGGAACAAGGGAAGCGATAGTTGCAACACAGGTGCTTGTCCAGAACTGCTACGATCAGAGAAAGGATGTGTGCCTGTGTTTCATAGACTACGAAAAGGCATTCGATCGCGTGCAACACCACAAATTAATGCAGCTACTCAAAAGGCTTGATATAGACCAAAAAGACATACAATGCATCGAAAACTTGTACTGGAACCAAACAGCACAAATAAAATTGGCCAATACCATGTCCAATCCCATACAAGTTAGAAGGGGGTGCGACAGGGTTGCGTGCTGTCTACACTCCTATTCAATTTGTACTCAGAGGCTATTTTCCAAGAGGCTCTAGAGGACGTTGAAATGGGAGTCAAAGTTAACGGAGTGTGGATTAATAACATCCGCTACGCCGACGACACGGTCTTGATTGCAGATAATATACACGATCTACAACAACTGGTCAACAAGGTAGGAGAACAGAGTAAAGCAGAAAACTAAATTTATGATAATATCCAGAAATCCAGATGTGTTTAAAAACTCCATTATAACATTCAATACAAGGCCCATAGAGAGGGTAGATAAATTTAAGTACTTGGGCATCTGGCTCTCCGAAGATTGGACATCAGACAAGGAAATTAAATGTCGCATCGAACAAGCTCGGCAAGCATTCTTGAGGTTCCGAAAAGTACTTGTCTGTTCTGATTTTGACCTTAACCTCAGATTAAGATTCGTAAAGTGTTACGTGTGGTCGGTGCTCCTTTATGGTATGGAAGGTTGGACATTGAAAGCAGCTGCCATTAATAAACTAGAGGCTTTCGAGATGTGGCTATATCGCAGAATTCTGAAGATACCTAGGACGGCTAGGTTAACAAATGAGGAAGTTCTGAGACGTGTCAACAAACAGCGCGAATTGTTTGAATTGATTAAGAAGAAAAAAACCGCATACCTGGGGCACATAATGCAAAATCCCAAATATCAATTCTTGCATGTGTTAATCGAAGGCAAGATCGAAGGCCGGAGGGGTATCGGAAGGAAGAAAATGTCATGGCTGAGGAATGTTAGACAGTGGACAGGCCTACACGATGTACAGTCGTTAATAAACACCGCCAGGAATAGAGAAGCGATGGAAAATGTTATCGCAAACATCCATTAATGGATTCGCACTAGAAGAAGAAGAAGATTATAAATTTATGTATTGTAATAAAAACCTACTCAAATATTAATTTTCTCCCTACAACAAAAAAATAATAGTTTAGATTTAGGTTTTATACAACCTTTAATTGGACATCCCTTGTTTTCCCCTGTTTTGTTTTGCATTTTGACATTTTTATTTCGGTATAAGGTAGATCATGGCGATAATTCACAATATTAATAATTTATAATTGGTAGTAATAAGTATATATTTTTCTAATTATTTAACCGAAAATAACATATGTATCTCTTTAAAAACAGTAAATTTCATTTTTCTCGGCTCTAATTAGAATGGACAAAACTGGTTTTTCCCGTGTAGTCTTCAAATGATGTTGTTTTGGAATTTATGGATTTATACAAAAATGAGCCCTTCTTATGCATGGCCAAACACAAAGAACATATAAATCGTACAATAAAAGAACTTAAAAAGAAAAAAGAATCACTAGCAACGACAATTTCGGGACGACCGGTATCCATCGATGCGACTATACTGTTTCCTTGTCAAGGATTTAAACAATGTTTGTGCTGGTGTACTTGTTGAAATGGACACGTCGTGTGAGCGCCACACTTGCCAATGTTGTTTACAAAGTGGGGACTAGTGGGGTTACTTGCCAAGTACGCAAATATTGGCGTACTTGCCAAGTAGACCAGTCGTGAGAGTGCGCCTTAACTTTAATAAAAATATAACAGTACAAGAGTCACACCATCGGGAAAACGAGACTTTTAATAAAGCTGGTTTTTTAATATATATTTTGCTATGCTCTCCTGAACAGAGTGCGGACCGTCTGGCTGCCGGTAGACTACTGCGCATCACATCTGTACAGGGTGTGTGTGTGTGTTTTATGGAATTTCTCGTTTATGAGTAAAAATACAGTGATGCGATTTTCATATTATTTTGCTAGTTTTTTTATGAAACTAAATATGCTACACATAGGTTTGTCCTAGCCTCCTTAGTTCCTGAAATGCTGCGGTGACTTTTTAAAAGGTTAGAAAAAATTATAAAAAAGGATGTTAAAAATTAAAAAGAAAATCGCAGCTCTTCGTCTGGTGAAGAATAGGTGTAGGTTCATTTAATTATTTTTGCATATTGTTGGGCACCACTTAGTTTAAGCCAAGTTAAGGTGATATTTAAAAAATTAAGAAAATTACCACAGGCTAAAGATGTTCAGTAATGATATATCTCAAATTAAAACAGCAAAATTTAATAAAAAAAAACTATGTACATTTATTAATAATTAAATAACTCTAGTTTGAAAGTGATTAAAAAAGGTCTTTAAAAGAAATACAATAAATTAATGTTATCTTGATATATCGAAACTTAATTATAACTAAATATAAATTACTAAACGTAATCGTTTGTTTAAGTTTCATTAAAAAGGTTTCAATATAAAGTAAATTTCAGTAGAAAGTTAAAAAAAAAGGCAAAAAGATTCTAAAGCAAAACGTAAATGAGTGCTTAGCTTTGCTCTGAAGCTGTAGTCAATCAGTGTTGATTTCGCATCGTACTTGGGCCCATATCCATTACGTAACTGCTTCAAACCATCAGAAAACTTGGAAATTTGCGGAAAAGGGGGAAACTCGCCAATTCACACCAGCCTCCAATAGGGAGCCTTCATGAAACCATTCATAAAAACCCAAAACTGCTCAAAATCTTCGGCCCAAAAAAAACTATTGCTATGTTCTCAAAAAAAAACTCCTCCAAAAACTCCTCCAATAAAAACTCCCAAAATGTCAAATCTTCTACTTAAGTTGGTAAGGGACACATCTATAAGAAATAATTTTTTCTCTAAGTATACGAAAAAGGGTAAAAAGAAGAAAGCTATAACTTACTCGCAGGGCTATTCTCCGCCACAAACGATGTACAAAAAAACTTCTCTGGGAAGGTGAAAACCACCCTGGGACTTCTCACCAGTAGTCGAAATGGAAGTGTCGAAAAATCCGAATAAAACGTTAAAATTCTGCCGGAGATTATCTTTTGAAGACATAAAAAATCAACACACACCAAACTGTGCTCGAAATAAGGAAATTTCAGAAAAGTTATTAATAACATTTACAGAATAATTCTGACGATTAGTATAAATGGCAACCCTGCGCCACCACATTGAACGGCATTCACGGTACTACCAAAATTGCAGCGGTACCGACTAGGGATGGGCATTATTTGCTTAAATTCTGCTAGAGATGTAGCGCAAAAATAATAAATTATTTTAGGCTGCTATAATGCAGGGCGAATTTGTGATGCGTAATAGTCAACAGATGTTGAATACAGATATGATGCGCAGTAGTGAACGCAACGTCTACCGACAGCCAGACGGTCCGCACTCTGTTCAGGAGCAACTTTCTTAAATTATCTCTCGAAAACGTTGCTTGCTCTTAGACTATAAATAAAACAGTGAAATCGTTATGGAAATGAAAATATAAAATAACACCAATCACAAGCAAATCGTAGATCCGATGAACGGAGGTATGAAAATGCAATAAATTTATAAACTGCGTAATTTTCTCACCAATCGAAGTCTTTAAATTCAACCAATAAAATCAATATCGCATCTTCGGATAACGGATGCATGAAAATCAAGCTTTATACCACCCCTACAAATATTTGCACTTATTTAAGACTCACCCTGTATATTGAAAGAAATAGAATTATACAATTTTATATAATAATTAATTACAAAATAGTTTGTTACCTGACTTATAGATCCAAATGGGGCAGTAATCCACATTTTCGAGGATCCTATACTTACGTGAGTGCCAATATGGAAAATGCAAAAGCGAGCGCCAATGATCTTGCCGAACCATTAATAGCTCATAGTAAACCAGCGGTTTTATTTGCTGGAGAATCAACTCATGCTACTTTATTTTCAACTGTCAGTGGTGCTATGGAGACAGGATACAGAGAAGCTCAGAGAATCATTGATTTTTATAGAAAAAATGCATAAATTGAAATATTTTATTTTTAATTAAATATTAATGAAATCGATTACATTTGTCTCTGAAATTGTGAAAAATAAAACGAAATATACAAGGATGTTTATTTTTGATAAGATTTATTAACAAGTAGCGTCTTCTAAAGCTCCAATCCAGGAGCCATCTTTTCCACAGGAGAGGTCATAAGTTTTTCCAGTAGGACATATTATTTTCACTGTATCACCGAAGAGATATGAATCACCTTGTACTTCTGCATTAAAAGATGCTTGAGGTTTGCCACAAGACTTTTCTAAAATAACAGAAAGATACAGATATCCCGTAGATATAGAGAAACAGAATAGTTTGTCTTTATAGTCAGTTATACAGGGTCAGTTTCCTACGATGTTCTCTATATGTATCTGGGAAACTACTGGAGATAGAAAGTCAGTTAAAGGGGGAAAGAATTGCAGTTTTGTGGGGTCATAAATATGCGCCTTTCAGATTTTTGAAAAAGTTCATGGCTTACTTATTTCGAAAAAAACAAATACTGGCTATTTTAAAAATGGCCCCTTATTCCATTATAATCGATTTTACATAAAAAGTTTTCAGATAAAAGTTGTAGATAATCACATCGCTAATGAGTCTGTGTTCTCCAATTTTTTCTAAAGCCTGTCATTTTTGACATATGACACAAACATTATATTTTTTTAAATGGAAACCATAGTTGGCCAAGGCTTCATAAAAAGCGCCATTTTTTAAGCTTTTCAGCGATATAAGCTATAATATGTTTTTTTTTCGAAAAATTGCTGAGTTATAGCCAATTCTTATCTTTCTTGGCTAATTTCACTTAGTTGGCATGGTATTCTATATTATTGTTATGATTTATAGCTTATAAAAAGACAGAATATATTATTAAACGGTTCTTTGCAATTTACATTACATAAACTAAAACTTAAAAAAATAATATCACTACATACGTTTTAAGTTATTTTAGAAAATGTTCAAAAAATCCGCCATTGTTTTAAGTACATAAATGCATTTTTTTAAAACTGAATTATTAGCTATTCTCACGGAACAACCGGTCGACTTAATTAAATTTCTTCCGTACCACCTCTTCGAGTGCCTCTCTTAATTTATTAGTTCTTTTGTGCAAACCTTGTTGTTAATCATACCGCATAAAAAAATCTAAAATGGATAGGTCAGATAATCGAGGAGGCCCATTCAATTAGTCCACCTCTTCCTATCCCCTGAGCATAATTATGATATAAATAAATTTTAACATTTCTTTCATTATGGGGGGGGGGGGTCAAAATGAAAGTGATGTTGAACGTATTGATGCGCGAGTATCTACACGCTTTTCTTCATTTGAAAAATGTCAACATTTGAAAATCATATGTCAAGAATGACAGGCTTTAGAAAAAAGTGGAGGACACAGTCTCATGAAGGATGTGATTATCTACAACTTTTATCTGAAATATTTTTTTCTAAAATATATTATAATGGAATTAGGGACAATTTTTAAAATAGCCGAAATATGTTTTTCTCGAAATAGCTAGTAAGCCATGAACTTTTTCGAAAAAAAAGGCGCATATTTATAATCCCACATAACTGCAATTCTTTCCCCATTTAACCGACTCTCTGTCTCCAGTAGTTTCCGAGATACCCATAGAGAACATCGTAGGAAACTCACCCTGTATAGTGAAGACTTTAACTAACGTTTTAACTGATGAACCTAGAAATGTATTCTCTCTCTCTCTCTCTCTCTCTCTCAGAAATGATGATGGACAAAGAATATGGATTATAACCATAGTACCATACGATCGAAAAAAAACAGCGTCAAAGACGGCTGGGGAGTTACAATCCATGATAGTTTTGGCGAGGTCAAGCCCTAGACGTCATTTACTTGGCTATACTCTTCTTTATTTTTTAATGTTTTTTTTTTCGATCATACGTTGTTTCTTTCCTAATGCGACACCGTATAGTTTTTATAACTTACTACTGCATCGAGATTGCATTTTACTCCAACGCCCCAGAATTGTGCATCTAATAATTCCCGTGCCAAACATTTTATATCCTTCTGGACATTCGTAAGTTAGCATGTTACCAGCTTGATATACAGTTACAGATATATCACTGCTCTTTAACACCATATTTTTGAAGGTAGGTACTTCAGGACATATTATAGCTAAAATTAGGATAAACTGTTAAATCCAATAAACATATTAAAATTTATTTTTAATATATACATATTTGTGTATTTTTTCGAAATTGCGTTAAACAAAATAAAGAAGCGTGGATACTATACGTGATATGATAATAGTATATTTATGTAACATCATAATAAAATGTGTTATGTAATATAGAATATATCTGATTTAAAATGAATATTACGCTCAGATGCAAAATACGCAGCGGAAAAAATTTTCGTCAAATTCAAAGTGTTTTATACAAAAATTTTGTTGAAAAAATATACTTTTTCTATTTTTAGACGAATTTCCATGATTTATTTTCATGTTATTATACAAAAAAGTGTTATATACTTTTTTATTTTTAGACGAATTTCCGTGATTTTTCTTCCAACCTGTATATAAATATATGAACTTTAATTCTAAAAATTCTTAAAAAATTTTAGACACTCTATGTAAAGAAGCATTTCTGTAATTTTAGTATTTTAGTTATTCTGTATAAAGTAGTATTTTTTTAATTTATTATTGCAACACAATATCTGATCAATAAATAAACTTTTTAACTAAATAATGAACTTATTAACTAAATAAATAACTTTTTAAATAAATAATATTTTTACTGCAATTTCATAAAATTTAAAATATTTCAAAAACTGTCAGGTTTATGTGTGATAAACCTTAACCAAAATTTACCTTTATTTCAATCGTAGAATCTAAAAATAGAATAATATACAGGATGTTCCATTTAAACAAAACAAAACTGCAATATTTCTGCTTATTTGGGACATTCTGTATCTTGTAAAAATATTCTTAAATTGTAGCTCTAATTGTCCTTCAACGAACCCAAAATACAATTTATAAAAATCTAATCGTTTAGCTACAATACTCCGTGTTATACGTGGTGAACAACCCTGTATATGTCAGTTCATACTGTCAATGAGGCGAGATATATCTAATTGCCTTACGATTTTCCATTCTTCTTTAAGAACCACGCGAATTCATTTAATGCTTGTGATAGGCTGTTTTACACAGTTCAGATAATATGTCAAACATGTTGGACAGTTCAAAGTAGTATAATATAGTTCACAGTAATCACCAAAGGATGTGGCTTTGGTCATAATGCGAAATACCATTAAAAATTAATTATAATTGCAAAAATTGCAAATGGTTGCTGGCAAGTTAATTTTGCTCTTAAAAATTAACCAAGGCATGCATTGACATGGGCCAAAAACTAAAATACTCAGGAGACATGGCTCTGACAGACAATAATGTTTAAGAAAACTTGCTCACTAAATTAGTGCACAAAGTGTTTTAAAGTTAGTCTAAATTGTTTTAATGAATGTTTTAACTCAAAAAAGAAAAGCTTGTTAAAAGTGGAACAAAGTAAAATGCACATTACAGACACTTTACCTTGGCATGTTATATTAGGCTCAGTCCAATACCCATCTATAATGCAAGTAGAAACGTTGACTCCGACAAGTTTATAACCAGGTCGACATTTGTACTCTACATAATCCCTAGAGCCTTTCCGAACCAAGTTCTGAGATTCCTCAAATATATAACCATTCTCTGGTGCAGGAGGAATTAGAGATTCAGAACAACTCAAAGCTGATTTTTTTGGTTTTGCAATCACTGGTAACTCCTGTTTATTTAAAATGCATTTTGCGCTGGTATCGCTCCAAGTGCCTTAAATAACAGTAATTTTAGTCCAAAAAAAAATATTGATAAGATTTAAATATACTACCGTTTTCTAAACAAATCAAAGTAGATGGTCCAACCAGTGTAGCATTATCAAAACATATTATTCTTATTTCCGTTTCCATTTCGACATTAGCTTTAACGTTTTTTACATCTTCGATTAAGTCATCTGTAATTATTCTAATAAATCCATGTTCAATTGTAGGTAAAGTACACTGTGGGGCTGAAAACAGAATTACAATAAATTATATTGAATTTTAGATTAGGTAGTATAACAACATATACTACTAGAAGGTAAAATACTTAAAGCGTTTACTAAAATTTTTATAATACCAACTGCCATAAGTTTAGTACAAATGTATTTGAAGTTCGGAATCGCTTGACTAGCAACATTGGGAACATTAACAGTCTAAGGTAACTACAGGAGAAGCAGCCTCCACAAGTGCCACCATCTCTAGTAAGGGTCGGGAGCCTACCTCTAGACCCAACAGGCCCCCTACACAAGCTACTCTTTCCTCTACCCGGCAGGGGTCAACTAGGCGGGCTGGACGACCCTAAACACTCCTCGAAAAGGGGGAGAGTAAAAGAACGAAGAATCAGACTGGCGCATCTCCACCAAAGGGTAAGAGAGAAAGCAAGATAGAAAAAAAGGCCAGGATGAAAAGCCGTCCAACACCGAGAAGCAACCAGAGACGTATCACCAGCTTTGCCAGAACTCCAGTTTAAGGTCATTGAGTTGGCAAGTCATCAGCTCGAGAGAGCAGGGCCACGGTCAGGTCCTCACAACAGGAATTGATCTCAAATCCAAGGAGGCAATAGAGAAAGAGGTTCGGGACAACACCGGTATCAGGTCTATGGAAAGACCAAGTTAAAAAGGTGGAGAAAATGGAGACAGATCCTCCAGCCTCCACCTCATGGGTACCTTTGCCGGATTCAGGTTATACTCCAAGGAAGTCTAAAGTTTATACTCAGTCTAAAGCATAAAAGGGCCTGAAAGACGCAGAATCTCCTGATTGAAACCTTAGAACTTGGTTTTGCCTGTCTACACCAGATTACTACACGATTATTTAGAGCAGCAGTCAGTAAAATTCGAGTCGCTTGGCTACCAATGGTACCAATATCTAGAGCGTATGGCACCATAGAGTTAAAAATTTATGGCACACTCTTGAAACAAATAAATAATGATAATTTTTTAAAACTTTGAGGATCTTTACATGTACAAAGAATGACGATCGAATTTCATGTAATAAGGTTAAATACTTTCTTTATAAAGAGATATCTTTAAAGAATCTCTAGTATATTAGTTGGTATTAAGTCAACCATATGCCGGGTCCAGACCAAGGCGACAAAGAGTAAACACGATTTTGAGACAAAAACAAGACAAACTTGCGACAAAAAATAGGAAATTCTGACAAGACAAACTTGAGACAAATTGTCCACACCTCAAGGATAAAAGTACAACAAAGTCAAAAGTTTAGTTGTTGCGAATGAGTTTTATTAACCATGTGTGATTTCACTGGTCTCCTACTGTTGGCAGCATACGCCATCCACACTGCGCCGACAACTTGTAAAATATACGAACAAAACATAGACACTTTGATCTTTACCGACTCGAGACGGGACATTGAAAAGTCTCTGAATTTTGAAACAAAACAAAAATGAGACAAAAATGTCGCAGAAATGTATTGGATTTGTCACAATTTTGTCATAAAACATGAATGTCTCCATCTTGTCGTTGTTTTGTCTGCTTGGTCTGGACCCGGCAAGATACACATACAAATCAACTTACCAACACACTGCGGTTTCTCAGGATACCACGTACCATCTGCTCTACAAGTAATTGACATACTTCCTACCATTTGATATCCAGAATAACACTGGAATATTACTTTACTATTATAGAAGAAATCATTCCCTATGAAAAATGCATTCTTCACAAAACCGGGATATCCACAATATTTTACTAAAACAAAAAAAAAGTTAAAGCTGGAAAAAAAGTTATCATAATTTATTAAGATATGAGACTCTTTTTTTAAAATATGTTTTACAATTTATAATCAACAAATTTAGTAAACGTATGCATTTTTGACTGCAACTATCAAACCGTATCTTGTATTAAGAGTATTAGCACTCACTTCTACAATAAGGGTCATCGAGTTCTTCCCATTTAGAGGTCTTCATACATTTGCGTCCGTTCTCAAATTTTTTATTACTTAATTCATATCCTTCGTTGCATGAGTAAAATGCAGTGTTGTCAATTATGTTTATTAGACCGTTGTACATAATATGAGGTTCTTTGCACTTTTGACAAAATGATGAATTTAGTCTCTAAAATAGTAATAAATGGAAGTCATGTACATAAATTATAAATAGAATAATACTGCAACATGTATATAATTATTAATGCATAGTACTCATTTTAAAGCAAGTAATTTATATATCTACTTCTCTCTCGTAAATATTATTTAAGCAATATATTTTAAATTAAATATCCTTTAGCTGCTCTCTAATACCTGGACATTTCCTTTAATATGTTCTTGTATTTCAGGCCATGCATACAGATCACCTAGAATAGAGTCACTACAATCATTTAGATGTGTTAAAATTTCAGTCTCGTTTAATTTCCTTGACCAAATATCGATGTATGCCATATTTCCTACAAATGTCTGGGACTGACTGAATTTGCCTCCTATATCATCTTGCTCTTGACCAATAACTAAATATCCGTTACCTAAAAAATAATATAGTTTTATAAAAGTAATGCACAATATGCCTTAACTATCGTGATTGTAGTGCTTATAGGGAAATGGATCGAATTCCACTATATTAGACATAGTTAAATTTAAAACTAATTTTTACAAAATTCAAATAAATTATTTTTATTATATATTTAAACTGAAATATAGAGAGCGTCACTTAAATACAATGTAAGTTCAATAATTATTTTATGTGGTTGTATATTTCGATCTTCGATGGAAACCTATTACTTCCTTTTAATTAAAAAAAATATGTTGAATATTTTATATTTTTCCTAATATTTTCTAGGAAAATTTAAAAAAAATGTTTAGTGCTTTGTGGTTTGCATTTTTCTGTATTTTTGTTCGTTTATAAGTTCCCAATAATTTTAATTTTCAACACAAAAATTTCAAATATTTAGTTTATTCATGTCAGTGTGTGAACCGTTTGCTAATACCGTATAGCTAGCAGTAAGCTCTAGAGGTGTGTAGTTCGTGAACTAACCAGTTCCAATGACACCGGAACGAAAGGAACTAGTTCCCGGTTTCTCAAAGGATTAGTTCCTAAGAACCTATTCCGGGGATCGATATATAACAATATGCGGCGACGGATTGGCGAGGGCGATCGTAGCCGGATGCTAGGCGGGAGTGTCAGCCGTATGTTACCGGTCCCGGACCGAAAGGACTGAAATGAACTAGAGGAACTAATTAAAAAACTAGTTCACGGCAAAGGTTCACGGGAATCTATTCAGTCCACAGATCCGAGATAAAATACAATGCGCCGACGATGGATCCGGCCTTGTCTATTGCCGCGGCCGGCGTAATTATCACAGAAAATTGTCGTGGATACTGCTTTTAATTTTTAGTTTGTTCTTTGAATATTTTATGGGAATGTTTCACTTTAGGTCCCTAAAATCAAGGAATATCTTATAAAACGAAGTAGATATTCTGACTTTTTAGACAACTTGTATATGCTTGTTTTTAACATACGCAATTACACTTCTCGTTATATTTCGAGCATTAAAAAAATTATATAGATCATACTGTGAATAGTTCTTATAACGAAACCCATGAGCAAGCAACGAGGATGTCAATGTTGGTCGGGAACTAATGTAAACTAAAGCCCTAGTTCAAGGAACTATTCCTCTGGGGGAACTAGAACTAAGAAACTAGAATTCCCATCTCTAGTAAGCGCCATTAAAAAATGAAGAGTAGTACGGGCTAAGTAAATGACATCTAGGGCTTGACTGCGTCAAAATTATCATCGATTGTCATCCCCAGCCGTTTTTTTTCGATCGTATGGTACAATATAATCGAAAATAAAACGGCGTCAGCGATGGCTATGAGATAAAGATCGCTGTCATTTTATACAGGGTGGCGCACCTCATTGGCCTCGGTTGATTATACGAAAACGGAAAGATGTAGAAACAAAATATTTTATGGGTATATGTGGGGAGGTAATGTGTACAATTTAAAATTATTTTGAAATATACAGGGTGTTTCAGAACTAAGATCCATACCAAAGTTATATTTTTTCTTATGGAACATCCAGTATTTTATTTCATTTTTGGATTCTTAGGCCAAAAAAAGGTATTTATTATAAGGGTTAAATATGTTTAAAATCTTTGGTTTTTGAGGTATTCACGATACACATAAACATGTTTACGTGTATCGTGGAGGTATTAAAAGATATTTAAATTTGCATGCTACAATAGAATATATTATTAACACCCTGTACATTACTTTTCAGAATTAGTTCTTGTGCTGAGTTTAAAGGTAGAGAAAGAAACTTTACAGAAAAATATTATTCCTTCCTTAAATGTATACAAGGGTATCAAAAATTGCTGGTCTATTTTAAATATTTATTTTACATAAAAACTTCGTTATTTCAAATGCAACACTATGTATTTTTTTAAATATGTCAAAGCAGATTTAAATGCTCTTTCAAACTATATTAGGGTTTCCTATACCTATCTGGCTCAGATTTTGAAGAAAAAGCGATTTTTCAATAAAATTGCAATCAAGATGGCTACTATTATCATGGCATGTTTCTAGTGACAGTTAGTAGCTATTTTCAAAATCGAAATTAGTTATGGACTTATTTAAATTTATACCTGTTTACTTTTATTTAATTTATCTACAATAGTTTAATAAATAATATTTATTAAATATGTGTTTATTATTCTATCAAGAAAAACGAAGAAGTAGTTCTTTGAATTATTTGACGTTGACTTATAGATATATGGATTTTCTATAAAATAGCCAATTACGGCAAATTCATTTAATTCACTTCCAACGACAGGTTTCTGCCTAATACGTTTTTTATAAACCACACTACCAGCTCTGCGAAATAGGACAAGAAGTTTCTCAAAGAAACGCTTATCAGGAAGATTCCTATTTGGGCACACTATTTTTGAGCATAAGTCCTTGAGGACAAGAAGCAATTTTCCTCACAAAATAATATCACTAATAACATATCTATTCATACCGCCAGCAGATACTGCTTTATTTTTCTTGATAAAATAATGAATACTTACTTATTAAACTATTGTAAGTAAATTTATGTAAACTGTTATAAATTATAAATATTAATGTCCATAAAGTAATGTCAACTTTGAAAATAGTTACTAACTGTTCCTAGAAAATTGCCATGGTGACACCAGCCTTCTTGATTGCAATTTTATTTAAAAATCGCTTTTTATTCAAAATCTGAGCTAGATAGGTCTAGGAAACCCTAATATAGTTTGAAATAGCATTTGAATCTGCTTTGATTTATTTAAAAAAATACAGGGTGTTGCCTTTGAAATAACGAAGATTTTATATAAAATATATCCTTAAAATAGATCAGCAATTTTTGATAGCCCTGTATAAATTTAAGGAACCAATACCATTTTTCAGTAAAGTTTATTTCTCTACCTTTAAACTCAGCATAAGAACTAATTCTGAAAAGTAAAGTACAGGGTGTTCGCTCTATTCTATTGTAGCATGCAAATTTAAATATCTTTAAATATCTCAAAAACCAAAGATTTTTAACATATTTAACCCTTATAATAAATGCCTTTTTTGGGCCCAAGAATCCAAAAATAAAATAAAATACCGGGTGTTCCATAAGAAAAAATATAACTTTGGTATGGATCTTAGTTCTGAAACATCCTGTATATTTCAAAATAATTTTAAATTGTGCACATTGTCTCCCCACATATACCCATAATATATTTTGTTTCTACATCTTTCCGTTTTCGTATAATCAACCGAGGCGAATGAGGTGAGCCACCCTGTATATAAAATTACATCGGGAATGTCATCGACCGTAATTTCCAAAACAACTGAACGCCGTTCTTTTCGATCATACGTAGTAATAATTGTGGAATATCGCACACTACTTGCTGTTTACGCACACTGATACTATTTTACAGTTATTTTCAATTAAAAGAATAATGAAGCTTTTCTTATCGGCATATTACGACGTATTTTCAATATTATAGTAAATTCAGGTTTTTACACAATACTATACTTACCCATTACTTTTTTAAATATTTCGTTTACCATGAGAATTTAACAATGTAAGATTATTTTTGGGATGTTTACGAAAATCCCTTTAATCTCACAAAATAGTTTAACGTAAAACAGTTGACTGAAAGAATTGAGAAGATATGCAACCTAATGGGCGAATTCATGACAAGGCTAATTTGATTTCCCCTTACATGTCAAGAGTGATATACGGTGGGGACACCAATCGTTCTGCGGTCAACGCATAAAACAATTATTTTCTCTAAATCGGCCAGCAAAGCCATATCGAAGACGGTGTGGATCTAAAAGCGACAGTGCTGCCATAGTGTAATATCGGCGTTTATAAATTGAAAATTTGTTCGTGTTAAACATAGAACAAACAACACAAATAAAAATTCTATTATAGGTATTGAATATGTCATATGATCGAAAAAAGTAGTTTAGTTGGCTTGGAAATGACGATTATTGACATTTACCATAATAGTTTACATATAAAATAACAGCGATCTTCATTTCCAAGCGAACTTTGTTTAATTTTAACAAGGCCGTTCTTTGTTTAATCATATAATATTATATTAAATTGTTTAATGATAGAAAATCCGTAGTAATTAATGTACTGTACCCAAAATCCGTAAATCTACGGATTAATCAGTAGTTCTGGCAACAATGTTTCTGGCAACCACTCATTCTAACGACTGAAAGCAGAACTACGGTACTACGGTACAGTATTCTTTGTTCGCTGTGCTTTAAACAACGCTGTATCAGCGCCCAGCGACGCAGAGCTAAACTAAATATCGGACAGGCTGACGGTAACACCAGCGACAGCTCGAACAAGTTTTGTGCCACGAAATCGCCCAAAAGGTTGCGCATCTTATTTCTTCAATCAACGGCAAAACATTTATTGAACATATTCATGAAGTAGTTATTTGTTAGCGTTTTCAGGTTGCCACTGTGAATCTAGATAGATAAGGATGAACAATAACCTGCTACAACACGTTAAAAAATATTTGCTAACAAGTACAGTCAATTCAGTACTTAAATACTTGCAGTTATTTAAGACACCGTGTATAATATCCTGTCTGTAACTAACCTTCTATTTTAGAACCAGAAGCTAAATTTCTTCCGCTATTGATCAGACTTCCGTCGACAAAAATTTGATATTCGCCATTTACACTCTGCCACGCAGCACAAATATGATGCCAATAACCATCGTTTAGAAGTACATCGGTTACAATGTATTCTTTATTGACATAGAGTACTAATCTAAAACAAAAATTGATGCAATTATTCATACCAATTTTTTAAAATACTGTTTACCCGGTATAATCAGTTAATGTGAAGACATTGTCAGAGGATCGAGTAGCGTAAGACAATAATGTTCCATAGTTAACACTATCTGTTGTTTGAATCCATAAACAAGCAGTAATCTGAAAATTATTTAGTCATCTATTAAAAATATCAAAAAAACAAATGATATATTATTGTTAAATTTGTTTAAAAAAAATTGGGGGACGCCGGGAGGCACGTATAGCTGCCCATACTAAAACGTGTTAATAAAAAGTTGGTAGGCAGTTCTTTTAGTTTCAATTATCTCAAAAACTGCGACATTGACTGATTTTGATGTTATTACAAATTTTGTTGCAAATATTATTCCTAATCATAAACTGAAAATCGCGTTTCGCTAGCTACTGTAATTTTGGAGTTACGATTTTTAAAATTTTTAACCCCCTCCCATACCACCTTACCAACCACCAACCCCCACCAAAAACTAATGGCCAGATTCTCGGGTGCCACAGTATTTTTGTGCCAAATTTGGTTAAAATCGGTTTAGCGGTTTTTGAGTTATCGTGTTACAGACGGACAGACAGACAGACAGACAGACACCATGAAAATATTTTGTATTTAGGTCATTTATGACCCAAATAACTCATTTTGAGTGAAATTAAAAAACTTTTTTTTGCCGATCTTAATAGCCTACCATACCTGTTGGTATGGTCGGCTAAAAATAAGATATGAAGAACAAAGAGAATTGGAATTTTAATTTTTTAATAATCTATACACTTCAACACACTTTCCAAATAGGCCAGTCAATCTGGAGGTTGAGGTGGAAAAAATTAGTAACCATCCGATCTCAACGGGAATATGTAGATAATGATCTCCTATTTAACCACTCAAAAGTCCCATTCGGTTCCATATAGTTTGAAAAAAACCGCCGCTATCTTGGATTTTTTCTTTTTTTTCAAATATCGCCTTTTTTCGAAAAAACTAAAGATATGTATTTTGTAGAGAATTAAATTTAGAATATTTTACCTGCAATTTTACCTTCAATCATTTTTTTTTTCTAAAATAAATAGTAATAGAAATTTTTACTATACGTTTTATAAATTTTCCAGTTTTTTTAAACCAATTACATCAGCTATAATTTTTGCGTTAACAGTATAGTGTTAGTGTTAGATAAACCAAGTATAAATTAAAAATAACGTTTAAATATTATTTATTAAAAAAATTATGTTAAAAAAATAATTATTAAATTAAAGTTATTAAATAAAATCTACTATGACGTCATCCTGAGCGTCATTTTCGTCCTCAACTAAAATACAAAAGTTTATGCAACTGATTCCGTAGCGTTGACCATTTTTTTAGAATTTAGAATGAGTGGGAAGGGGGTTAATCACTTCGACCTTACAGATCCATTGTGTCCCCCTTTCTTGAATCATAACTCATCATACAGTCCCAGGGCTTTGACAAAAGCCAGTATCTGGGACGGTTTTATAGAGGGTAGTTCTCCATCTCCAATATCAGTCGTACCAAAATTCATGGCACGAATGGTTGTCGTCTCGGCGCACTCAGTGATGAGGTGTAGCGTTGACCATACTTTGAAAAGTATGGTCAACGCTACTTTCAAAAGTGAACATTTGAAACATTTGAAACATTTAAGAGCCAGTTTTCTACAGGAGCGATTTTTAGAGCACTGATTCTCTTTGCAATTGTAAAATATTAATTTTAGTAGGTCAGGAGGTGCCACATCTTCTGTTGATTGAATAGGTGTCAGATTGCCTTTTTGGTCTTTCTTTCACCCATATTGTAAAGGATCTAAGTTGTTACCAATCCATTCTTGAATCTAAAAAATACAACTTATAACATTTCCTATAATAGATATATTTTTACAGTTACCTGAAAGTGTATCCTGAGTAAATGAAGTTTTGCAGAGTTCTCAGTTGGAGGCAAATTAGCTAAATTAAAGGTAGTCTTAAGGGCTTGTCTTGATGTAATCCTATTGTATAGAGTGTATCTCAGATAGTTAATATATTTAATATATGTAGCTTGGGCCACTGCCATATAGCTTTAAAAGATAATTTAATCCTGACTGAAACAAGTCATCTTTGTTAGGATTTTTTTCTAAAAGTATGTCGAGGTATTAACAAAGATCCTCATCTTTTTTCAGTACCGACAGGCACATTTTTGACATGTTTCTGTCGGAATTAAATTATCTTTTAAAGCTATATCACTGTGCAAGCTATATTAAACATATGAACCATATGAGAATCCCTTAAGACTATCTTTAATTTAGCTAATTTGCCTCCAACTGAGAGAACTCTGCTAAACTCCATTCACTCAGGACATATTTTCAGGTAACTGTAAAGATATATATATATATATATATATATATATATATATATATATATATATATATATATATATATATATATATATATATATATATATATATATATATATATATATATATATATATATATATAAAAATTATAGGAAATTCAATCAACAGATGTGGCGCGGCGCCTCCTGACCTACTAAAATTATTTTTTTGCAATTGCAAAGAGAGTCAGTGCTCTAAAAATTGCTCTTGTAGAAAACTGGGTTTTGAATGTTGTTCAAAGTGTGGTCAGTGCTACGGAATCAGTTGCATAAACTTTTGTATTTTAGTTGAGGCTAAAATGACGCTCAGGATGCCGTCATAACAGATTTTATTTAATAACTTTAATTTAATAATAATTTTTTTAACAATAATTTTATTTTTTAAATTTTATTTTTTATTATTTTTTAAATAAATGTTTACTTGGTTTATCTATATTAACACTATACTGTTAACGCAAACATTATAGCTGATTGGTTTAAAAAACCTGGAAAATTTATAAACCGTATAGTAAAAAATTGCTCTATCTCTATTACTATTTATCTCAGAAAAGAAAAAGGATGAAAGTAAAATATTCTAAATTTAGTTCTCTACAAAAAAACATATCTTTAGTTTTTTAGAAAAAAGTTATGCAAACGGAGATATTTGAAAAAAACGAACAAATCCAAGATAGCGGCGGTTTTTTTCAAAGTTCTCCCACTGGGACCGAATGAGACTTTTGAGGGGTTAAATAGGAGATCATTATCTTGTAGCGTTTTTTTAAAACATTATCACTGCGAACGGCAGCTTTTCGTTGGTAGAGCAGTCGTGGATAAGGTATTTCACTGGAAAGAAACTAATTAACAATAATAACTCGAAATTATAAATATTGGGCGCCAGGCATGTACAGAGAAAGAAAACACAGTTGTATATTACTTAAAACTAATGACTATATTTATTCATGATGTTCTTAGATGGTACATGATATTGTAGAGTTCTAATAAATATATAGTGGTTATATGTCAAAGAAAGTGGTGGTAAGAGTCGTACTAAATATCAATGAAAACAACTACGATAAAATACAAGACATGTAATGTTTAAGAGAATATATGAAATGTAGCATTACTTTAATTAATTTGATATATTCCATATGATGCTAAATCGAAGATGTTGCAACCTGTAGATTCTAGAATCTATGTTTGGTTATTCATCTGTTAAATAGTGCGATAATAATATCTATAAAAGTAATACCATTACAAGATGTAATGCAATGAAACCTAAGATCTAAATTATATTTAGTATTAATTATTATATTAAATATTAAATCGACATGAATGTTCTTAACAATCTAACCACTAAACATAGTCTGTACGATATTATTTAAGATGTACGTTATTGTTTAAGACTGTAAATGTTTTAAATGTTAAATGTAAAACTAGAACTTAAATCTACACTTAGCTGTTCTTTATGTAATCTTGCTTTAAACAGTAACAGCGTGAGGTGGTCTCGCATCTCTGTACTCAGCCATCCAACACAACCAAAGGGGCCAGAATGAGGACACCATGAATTGATACAGCCGTAACTAACTAGCTTATAGCTGGGAACGAAGCAGCATGGGACTCAAGCTACATCCACGCTGTGGCACTTATATGTAAGAAAAAATCATTCTTACTGGGGACACTCGTCCACAGGACATCCGTACATAAGACAATGTCCGTACATAAGACACTATCCGTACCTTGGACCCTCGAAATACTTCCGAGGGCTCAATAAATAATGAACAACCTGTCCTTTCTTCCATGTGACATTCTGGAGGACAAAAGAAAAGGGACGCCAACGTGCCAGCAAAATACAAATACAAGTTGGGACATCCGTAACTCTACCCTGTAGCCTCGAAATAGCAGCTGATTCAGATTATACAGCAAGATTTAAATAATCACCATTTCTAAAAAAACTGGGACTAATGGCGTCTGACAGGTAAAACGGTCAAACCAAAAGTGCCGTTAAATCACAGAGAGTTGACAGAAGCGATGTTGACAGCGCGCGCCTCCACAGAATAGTGAAACGATAGCAGGGTTGGCGACTAGGGAACGTAAAAATTACGCCAAGCGTACCAACAAAATGATCAGGCCTGAACGAGAGGGAATCCGGTGACGATAGGCCAGACATCATATATTATATGTAAAAAAGACATGTAACGAACTAAAAACGTTACAATCTACATATTCCCGTTGAGATTGGTTGGTTACTAATTTTTTCCACCTTTACATGTAATACTCGGCTACGTTTACTGGCCTAAAATGACTTAAATCTTAAGTCATATTTAAAATAAAAATTATTTAAATCTTAAATCAATTTCAACATAAAGTTCAAATGGTTTCAGTCTTTGACTTCAATAATCTTCGTGAAGACATAATCAATATAAAGGTGCGTATTCATTATCCGAACGAACGAACGAACGAGCGAGCGAACGAATGGAATTCGGTATATTTGGACGGTGGACCGAACGCATGCGGTCGTTCGTTTGTTCGTTCGCTCGGCCATCCGTTTCGAGTCGGTACATAAAAGGTGTTCGCAAACGAATGGGTTAAGGTGTTTTCGTTTGGTTCTAAAATCCGGTCCACTCCATACTACTACCGGATATACCTATATATATACTACCTATTCGGATAGTGAATACGCACCTTAAGTAATTTAAGTCGTTTTTATGATTTAAATCTATATTTTTAATTTAAATCATGATGATCTGCGAGTCAGCAAAATAACAAAATAATTACCGTCAAGTCAAAATAGCCAGAATTCATATTAAGTACCTATTTTTTAAATGTCAATATAAATTTTCATGTATTACCGATTGCCGATTTGCTATATTATTAATTTATGGTAGATACAGATGAAACTAAAAACAGTTGTACCTATACAGTACAGTTAAAATTATCGAGCACAGATCCATTAAAAAGTGGCCACACTGTATAATGTATCAGAATCAGTTAAATTTATTGGCTTTTAATATTACCTGATTTTCGAAATTTTAACGTCTAGAAGAATTATAATATAATGTAGTTCTAGTTATTATAAATAAATATGTTTTAAACACTGAATCAAATAATATGATTTGTTCCTAAATATACAGGGTGGTCCGAACTGTATTCCGGAAACTTCGGCAGCATATTCTGCAGATAAAAATAAGTAAAAAAGAAGGTGTAGAAGTTTCATTTTTGTTTCGATTTTTTCCAAATAATTTCTGAAGTAACGTCAATATTTGGATGGTTTGGTATCTGGGAGTTTTTTGACATGAGAAATTTTATTTTGATGTCAATATGACTCCTATTAGTAGAGGGCGCCATCTACATATTTTTTAACTGGTTTGAAGAGTAATAACTTTTTGTACGTACCTGTATAAAACTACTGAGTAAAAAAATATAGATTCACGACGTTTTTTACGTGAAAAAGGTCTCTTGGTAAAAATCACTACGAGTAATGGTTTTCGAGATATTTGGAATCGAAATTATCAATATCTGTCATCATTGACATAAATTAAACATGCTGATTAAATAGTTATTAGACTGAAACCATAAATTTGAAATGCTTTTGTGCCAAAAGTTCAACAGAAACTGTTTTACCATCGTTTTTTGCAGAAAAATTTATGATTGATTTAAAAAAATTAAAATTTCCCAAATTTATTGTTTCAGTGAAATAACTATCTACTCAACGTGTTTATTTTTCGTCAATAGTGATATGTATTGACTACTTCCATTCTAAATATCTTAAGAACGGTTGCTCGTAGCGATTTTTACAAAGAGATATTTTTTACGTAAAAAGACACAGATATGTATATTCTTTCACTCGGTAGTTTTATACAGGTACGGACAAAAAGTTATTACGCTTCAAAACAGTTAAAACACATGTAGGTGGCGCCCTCTACTAGTAAGAGTCATATTGACATCAAAATCAAATTTCTCATGTCAAAAAACTCCCAGACACCAATTTTCATCCAAATATTGACGTTATTTCAGAAATTATTTAGAAAAAATCGAAATAAAAATGAAACTTCTACACCCTGTATCTCTGAAACTAAGCATCTTAGGACATACATTTATACGAACTTTTTTACTTATTTTTATCTGCAGAATATGTTGCTGAAGTTTCCGGAATACAGTTCGGACCACCCTGTATATTTCAGACATTTATGATAAAAATGGCATAAAAAATATTAGATGTCTTACCTGGAATAAATTCTCCTCAAACCCTGTGACTCCAATAAAATTATTTATGTCATATCTGGCGAAATTAAGCATATATTTGGTATCTCTCTTAAACTGACATTCCTGACCATAATACAGTTTTGAGCATAAACACTTATAAGACCCTTCAGTATTGATGCAAGTTGCATCATTTAGACACGGTGAGTTTATACAATAATTAATTTGTTCTAAGCATCGATCTCCGGTATAGCCCTCAGGGCATATACATCTAAAACAAAATTTATTATATAATTATTTCAAAATAAAACGCCCATTCACCACTATATGCAATAAACTGCGTAAATTTTCTAACCAATAGAAGTCTTTAATTCAACCGATAAAAATAACATCGCATTATCGTATCGTCGGATAACAGGTGCATGAAAATCAAGCTTAAGAATTCTAATTAACGTTGCGATTGCTCTCATTTATATCTAATACAAGTATTTAATATACATACTTGTAGTCAGTTTTCATAGTATTCTTCGTTTCAATGTTAATACAAATACTATTTACATCACATGGTCTATAATCGCATGGCAATAAGTTACATCGATGGCCTAAATATCCTTGGGAACATATACATTTAAATGTGTCTTGAGATTCGTGGCAAGTGCTGTTGTTTTCGCATATAACGTTATCACAATTTCTCAAAAAGTTCTGACAAGTTTCTCCTGAAAACCCTAAAATTTAAAACATATTTTTTTCAAAATCCATGCACAACGCAGTTGGACATTTACACAAATAATTAGGAAAAAAACATTAACAGAATTAATCACTTACTTTACTAATTTTTCTATTAAGATTACCTTTTGGACAAACGCAAACAAATTCTTCATCTTCGATATTAATACATGTGCCTCCGTTTTGACAATTTATTTTGCAATAACTTTCTTTTTCTTGTACTTCTTCGCAGTATTTTCCTTGATATCCATTAGTACACATGCATTTGAAATCGTTCTCAAATGCAATACAAGTTCCTCCGTTAATGCATGGATCAGAATTGCAAGGGGATAGAAAATGTTCACAATTAATACCTAAAAATAAAATAATACAGTATACCGGATCTGTATGAGAATATCATCAAGCACTCATGGAGGCCTCTCATGGTAAAAAGATGACGTTGGGTTGTGTCAAAGGCCAATGTAAATGCAACAAAAATGCTAACAGATTAGCTAAGAAGGAATTGGTTTAAATATTTTTGGAGTAACTTCCTCCAACTTACTATCTATAGCAGCAATGTCAAATAAAATCAACGACGTCATACTACAAAGCTTTAAAAATTGGTGTTACAAAACCTTAAAAGATACAATTGCAGTAACAACATTTTTGGCGATTCAGAGCAGCAATTATCGAACTGCAACTACATAGACCATTAACCGGACAATGCCAAGGAGACTTTCATAAAACCTTGAAGCTTGGAACACCCTCAAAAGGAAAATTCAAGTCCTTCAACTCCCAGTGGATGACGTACCAAGAATGGACAACTTTGAGACACACTTCTTCGTAGTATTCAGCAACAAAAAGAATAAAGATAAAGATAAAGAAGAGATAAATGTTAATGACTATAGCATAAGATGGTGAATTGGTATTTCCACAATTAAAGCAGCAACAGAGATAAGAATATTTGGGACAAAAACTAAATACTTCAAACCAATGGGTACCTACAGACAGAAATCTACGCTATCAAAAGATGCGTAATTATCTTAAATAGGAACTATAGTACGAAATCAGAAACAAGAAACAGCCATGTTATCCGATAGTCAAGCAGCCTTACGATCGATCAAATCAGTAACCATCAATTCGAAGTTGGTCAAAGAATTCCTAGAGCAACTGAGTAAATTAGACAAAGAAAATTAAGTATTCCTACTCTGCCAGCCCACTAAGGGATGTAGAAGATAATTTAGAATGTGAGGGAGGCGGATTAATCACTGCGATCTTAAAGATCTATTTTGTCCCCCATTCTTCAGTTATAACTCATCATTACATGAGGACTTTCCTGTTGTAGTGTAGACAGGATACGGTTGGGATTTGGGGTTTGGCTCTCCGTGCTCTTCGCAGTCGAGAAGCTTGTCTCCGGCTGAGGTACCCATTGGGTGAGGGCTGAAGGATCTGTCTCCATTTTCTCTACCTCTTTAACTTGGTCTCTCCTTAGACCTGATACCGGTATTGTCCCGAATCTATTGTCGCGACCTAGCTGGGGGTTGTTCGCTAGGATCACTATACCAGGTTCTCTCTTTTAATCAAACAACCATTAGAAAAAATATGCATTTATTAAATATACAACTACATACCTAACAAATAAGTGTAGATAATAAATTTGAGAAGTGTCAAGACTTAAAGGTTCAAGACTCAAAGAGGTACTTACAACAGCATCTTATCTGGCTGGCTGACTTCTGTCTTCTCTGTCTTTTACTAATTCACTGGTAACCAACCGACTGACTAACCTCGACTAACTGACTAACTCAACATTGGACTGCAACTGACTAACATCGACTAACTAACTAACCAACTAACTGACTAACTAACTAACCGCCTGACTACCTTCAGCATACTCTTTTATGATGGCTAATGTTTTTTTTTATGCTGTTTCTTCGATCCTTTGTGTAGTTTAGTGTTTTCGATTTTGCTTCTTCTGAAGCAAATCCTTCTTGGAGCAATCGGAGGTATCTCCGTGCACCAGAGAGGATTCCCCTTAGCACCCGACTGGTAACTTTCCCACCAGCGGCAAGGTCTGAAATCTCTTAAGAGAAGGCACCAAGGAATATAGAAGGTAATAAAAAAGCAAACAATCTAGCTAGAAAATGAACGAACACGACACTAACTGGACCAGAACCGTTCTACTTCCCATGTGGAAACCAACATAAGCGGAACTCAAGAACTTGGAAGACTCTTCCGTAACCTGGAATGGGAATCCTCCAACGGTCTAAGACATTCGAAGAAATTTTTCAGGACTTACGACCGACAAAAATCAAAGATTCAAGTTACGACTTGAATCAAAGATTTTACTTGACTTGAGTTATTTAAATCATACTTGATTTAATCCATTTAAGGAAGAAAAACTTCAGACTGTCACGGGTTTTTTAACAAGACACTGTCTACTCAATGAACACCTCAGTAGATTGAAGTTAAGAAACAACGGCGAATGTAGATTGTGTGGGGAAACCTCATCACTGAGTGCGCCGGGACGCATATTCGGAATTCGCCGACACATTAGCCGCAAGAGTTAGTTCGGGTGCTGCGTAAAGTACCGACGTATTAGACTAATACGTCGGCGATTTACGATGCGCTCAAGATATTGTTTCTTTCTTCGCAAGTTTGTAAATCGGATTAATTTGATCTGCGTCTGTAATGGGTATTCGTAATTTTTTATGATCAATCAGTAATCTTCTGTAGTTGGTTTTCATTGTTTTCCAGTGATTAGCATATTTCGAGAAGTTTGCTAATTCAAATACATGGATTTTAAGACATTACCAGCTGTACCTAATAAATAAATAGCCTCCAATAAACCGAGATTGCAGATTACTGATAAAAACAAATTTTAGATATGCTGCTTTTTGCAGAAACATTAAATAATAACAGTAATGTTATTAATGTGTGATTAAAAACGCGTCAGAATTGGCTTGGAAATAAAGATAGCTGTCATTTTGTATGTAAAATTATATAGGGAATGTCATTGATCGTCATTTCCAAGACGCTGTTTTTTTTTCGATCATACGGTACTTGCGATAAGTCTTAAAACTTAACTTACTCTTTATTAAGGCTCCAATCATTCTAGCATGGAAGCTTAAAATCGGTTAGCGAGTAAATTTTAGTTTGGTTAGGTTAGGTTATTTTATTATAGAACGGATAACTGCCTTGGTAAATGTTAGAAGAGAAACATTTGAAAGAGTTTAAAAAACATTTTAAGATTGGCTCTGAGACTACGTCGAATTGAGCATTTAAGAGATTTTATCACTGTCATTTTGATGGCAAACAAAAGAAAAATAGGGAAGCGAGCCGCAAAAGAACTATAGACTGTCCAGTAAAATTATTAGTACCTAACTATCAGACAATTTCTTCAAGACACAAACTTAACAAAAATATGGGATTAGAAGTGAATAAATCCAAAAAAATAAAAAATATGTCTTAATTTTTTTCTATTTATGTTTTTTGATAATTTGATAATATGCTTTGTAAGCAAAATAACTTAAGTTGATTAGTAGTTTCCTTAGAGGTAATTTCTATATACAGGGTAATCCACCCTCATTTCGCCATTAATAATTTATATAACAGAAAGTATTTTTTTAAGTTAACAAAATTTTAGTTACAATTTTATACTAAAAATGACAGATTGAAAATTGCCCCATGAAATTTTAGAAAATCATATTGCTTATTTTAAATGGAATACACCGTATAAGTTTAATTTTAATATTAAAGGTAATTTCTGCAGGGCCCGAATTCTGTAACGTAGAAAACGCTAAGCGCTTTTAGACGCTCAGCGTATATGACGTTAATTTTTGCTGAGCGCGCACTTAACTAACGATTTGGGTATTCTCGTCTAACGCGCTTAGCGTCTTTACTGATTGCGCTAAGCGCTTTGAAAACGGTTACCTTAAAGGATCGTTTTGCTTGTCGAACTGTCAGTGAAAATCGAAAAAATTGTGATTTCGTGCGTTATCTTGCTCTTTAGTGAAAACTTCTACTTGTTCTATAAATTCCTAAATAAGTAATCGACAAATTACAAGTTGGTAGCTATAAATATTGTTTAAAACATCGAAAATGCTGAGAAGCTTCTTCAACATTTCCCTCGTATAATAAGAATAATGACATATCCATAGAAAAATAGGTTGACATAACTCAACAAGAGGTTATAAAATTCACGTAACATTGACATTTTTCATTGTTTTAGTCACATTTGACTATTAGATACCTGCGAAATTACGATGCTGTCAATATGTGCTCAACGCGTATTCAGAAAACGATTCGCACAGCAACGAGAATACCAAAATCGACTGCTTGACGTTCCGCTTATCGCATACTTTCGCTCACCGCTTTGAAAGCGTAACGTTTTTATGTCAAAGTTACAGAATTCGGGCCCTGTTTTTTTATAATTTTCTGACAGTTCTCGATATATAACCTATACTGAACCTATACTATAATGTAATAAGCAGTCAACAGTATTTCGCTCTCGTAAATCACCGACGCATAAAAGTTAGGACTAGTCTAATACGTCGATACTTTATCAACCGTCCGTTGCTGGTCCCGACCTAATCCGAGCGGCTAATGTGTCGGCGAATTACGAATATGCCGCCGGGACGACAACCATTCGTGCCATAAACTTTGGTACGACTGATATAGGAGATGGTGAAGTAACATCTGTAAAACGGTCTCAAATACTCCCGTTTTTCAAAACTTTTGAGACTCTTTGATCAGTTATAACTCGAAAAAGGCCGACACAATAGATCTATAAGGAGTGCTAATACTAAAAGTATTAGTATCGTCTACGTAGTAAATGCTTCAAAACTAAGAAGGAACTACATTTTGAAGTAGATACTTGTAAATTGTCGCGACGCTACTACACTGAGTAGTACCACTGTTGTGGAAATGACTTGAATATTTACTACACCTTGGAGAACCGAGTTCTTTACAGTAAAAACTTCGTTTTCAAGAAGAAATTGTAGCATTTACTTGGCTTTAGGGAAGTTGGGTTAATAGCAGCTTCATTTAGCATACTACGGTTTTAGTTTTGTTTAAAAAATGGATATAACACGCAAAAGAAAAATATACAATGCCAGACGACATCTCATTGATAATGATTTGTACCTTCAAATATTTATATATACAGTCTTGATAGCGGGCATTTGTTTATCCAGAAGGACCTTGTAATCTTCTAGTATTATAACAAACGCTAATTGAAAATCTTCCATTTGGGACTCTTTTTCTTGAGACATTTCTTCATCTGTAGACATTTCTGCCGAACCTCGGATAATACACCACTTCTACTTCAACAATTTTACTGAGGGCAATGGTAAAACCAAATGATCAAGACAGTACGTACATTGACTCCTATCCGGAAGAATTTTACATTTTAAATGAGTTATTTGGATTCCTTATCACAAATATTATAAACATTAGGTAGTCTAAATTTTACGTGCATAGCTGTTTAAACCTTTCTACGAGTATTACCGATTTGAAAAATAAACAAAACAGATAGACCGAGAAGATGCTACAATAATGTTGAAGAAAATACTATAGTCTAAAAGTAAATACTTTAATCAGTGTAGTAAATACTCCGACGTCAAGCAAGTTCTACCTGAACCGATCAAATGCTTCATGATAAAGAAAATACTTCTAAGTAGAACCTTAAATTTGTAGTATTAGCATAGATTATACAGATTATAAACTTTGTTTTTTCTTTATTGTTTTTCGTGGTTCCAATTTTTGGAATCGGGAACTAGTTAGGTTACTAGTTTGCGCACATAGCACGCCCACTTATGGCCTCTAAAATTGTGCACAGCGCCTGACCGGCACAGTTATTAGAGAGATATCGGAAAACCGAATAGCGTCATGCAGTATTTACGCGTACCTTATCATGGTTACGATATGCGCGAGTCAATTTTTAACGCAACACCCGCTAACAGCGTTACCGCCTGACGTAATTTGCAGATCAATTGCGGTATCATAGATAAATGAAACAAGTTTAGATTGGAAAGTGCCCATAAGGACAATGTAAACACTATTTGGCGCTATTCTTGCAACGGTCGCGACCCAAAACTTTTGAAAATTTCGGAGCGGTTCGGCTTTTTCCGGAATTATATAGCGAAATATTGGTTATTCAAATTTATTATTATTTTCGTTTAATTTTATAGATAAAATACAGTGTGTTGCATGCAAGGAACTTTATTTTATATAAGGACGCATGTATGAAATACCTATGAAACATTGGAAACCGACATTATGCCACGATCCACGATGGTTTTTGCAGTTCACAGTTCACAGCACAGCTTTTTAAGTTTTTAATGCCACTTTTTCACAATTATCACCGGTTGGAGTAAATAAAACTTGAATTAAACTCACAAGATAGCAATAATTACTTTGAAAAAGGACGCTATAAACACTTTCCGGAATTTCTTTAATGAGAGCGGTTTAGATTTTGAAAAATTATTATGATTTTTGAAGATTCTGACTTTGACAAGAGATAATTATTTCTGTTTTTGTTTGCCGTTGTTCTTAGCGACCGCTATAGCAGCGCCAGATCGCGTATAACGGTCGCGAACCAAAATAATTTCGCGACCTAAAATTTTTACGGGCTTTCCAATCTAAACTTGTTGCATTTATCTATGTGCGGTATTTGACATTCGGGGCCGGCCGGCGAGATCTTTTATTTTAGGTTATGTTTGAATTATTACTTGAGTTTTATTAGGTAATTTGATATTTAAGTAGCTGGGATTAGTTTTAAATAAATAAATATGGCCCAATATATGGATTCCACCTCTTCCAGTATTAAAGAACCTATAAAGAGGCTTAGGTTTACAGCAGATGACGACTTAGCCCTTCTAAGAGAATTTGTTGCTTGTTGCCCTAAACCCACTGGCAGACGTTGAACAACAAAGCACTGGAAATAAGCACTTTAGCCCTTTAGTTTTAAAATACCTAGCACTGGAAATAAGCACTTTAGCCCTTTAGTTTTAAAATACCTAGTAAACAAAACAATTTCAAAGTTTTAAATTCAAAGTTAGGTTAAGTTTAAATAGCGGACGCGACGCGAACAGAATTCTTCCGATCCGATAACTATAAATGAAGAGAGTTAATACCACCTCACGTAAAGGAAATAACACCTGGCCTTATTAACGTCCATACACGCTATTCGGTTTAGCGATATCTCTCTATTACGCTGTTTATTGTTATTTTACGCGAGTTTATTTTTGCGCACAGGAAATTTTACTCGTTTGCACATCGCACAGTGATCTGACTGGGTCAGAAAGCGGTCAAAAGCCATTTTGGTCAAAATAAAGAGATATTAAGAATACGAAAAAAATACGATTTTTTTTATTATTGAATTTCAAAAAAAATCTGTTTTTTCCAAAAAACTCAGCTTTTTATTGCATCTTGGTGAACATCCTAGAGCGCAACTTTGCCCCAATTTAATCATGTTCGTATCTATTACGATTACCGTGATACCAATGCTCGTATGTACCTCGAATTTGTAGCATCCTGTATATTCAACTTAAGATATAAGTTAAAATGATTCGAGGTGAAAATATAATTATCACCAGCAAATCCCGTAAAAAATGCTTGATTCCTTAATAACGCATCGGACAACATTCCTTATACAGAGTTTATCTCTGTTCTCCTCATGGGCGGGTCATGGCGGGTAAATATATAATTTAGATTTACTTAGTAAGCCTTGGGGTATGATACTTATATACTAGCTAGCCGGACTAAGGTGGACTTTAAAAGATAAATTTTGTGAAACTAGCAAGAACATCTTTTAAATTAATATTTTGTTAAAACAATTTTGCGTAAAATCAAAAACGCTCCTACCATTTTTTTGATACTGCTTAAAAGCCCAGTCCTTACCCTACACGTAGATGTCTTTAGTTTCTTCCACGAACAATTTTTGCCTTAGTTATAATTTGTTTTACTTTTTTTCTATAGGCTTATGGCGATTACGATCCAAAATTATACTAAATGAACCCTCTGTAACTTAAAAAAAAATAATTTAGGAATTCACTTATAATGCGTCATATCTCTGGGGTAATTTAAGTGTTTAATTGGCATCGGGTAAGGAAGATACCAGGATGTTGAATTTGACCACTTATGACCTAGCCCCAGATCACTGTGCATCGTCATAAAAAACAATTTTCGTACCACGAATTAGGGACAAGATTTTTATCCGTATACTTATAGGATACATGGTACATACATCTGTGGTATTAGCATGTACTTCATTTATATTCATACAAGGTCGCAGTGATTAACATCCCTCCTCTATTACAATCAACAACATAACATAGGCTTATATCTAGACTTGCAGATGTCCATGCAAATGGTCGTAAGTGGGATGGATATGAGTAGGATGTAGTAATACAAATCAATACATGTAAACAAACCAAAACTTAAACTTACACTTAACATAGTCATTTTGGATGTTTATTAAGGTACATGATTTAAAATGCAAGAACTGAGAGGGAGGCTATAGACGAGTTGGAACATAGGTACGAGATGGATGTAAATATATCATACGAATGTAATATGTATACGTGAGTAAAATTTAGTATAAAACAAAAATTATCAAAGAAGAAAAATGCAAAAAATAAAACTTACCATAAAAATGTTGAAAGCAATCACATGTAAACTGATACTCATTTGTCGCATTGCATGTACCATTTCGACAAAGGTTTGGTCGAGAACTGCATATTTCATCAGCGGTTGGAATACAATCCTCTATTCTTGTTGATCCGACTCTTATAGTCGTGTATCCGTTAGGACAGGGAATACACCTACAAAGACATAAAAGAATTAGAACTATTGATACAAAGATGACACTAAGAGTTTTTTTTTATATTTATAAAAAGTATGCATTAAAAATTGAAAAAAAATTACCTGATTGTACCATAATCTGGTTGATAAGTTCCAATAGGACATGACCTGCAATAAGGCCGTAGTGTAGGCCTTTCAATTGTATATTTTATTTGCTGAACATTCACTCGAATTTTCTTTCTTCTAGCATGAGTTCCGGGAGAACACATTTCTAAAAATTCATAGAAAACCTTGTTAAAGTGCAAGGCCGGACTTAACGAAGTTGCCGCCCCAGGCTAAAAAAAATTTGCCGCCCCTTAACATTTTTTTTTAATTAAAAAAATTGCGGATATAAAAAACATTTATTTGAATACAGGACTAATAACAGAATAGACCGACAGAACAGATCAACACAGAACATAAAATAAATATTAAAATATTCATATAAAATGACAACAAACGAACAACAAAACTATAAGGTTTGCTTATATGCCTATAAAGGCTTCCCTACGTACTTTTTTGTTCGCAAAATTATCAATTACTTCATCGTAATTTATAGTTTTTGAAAGGTCGGACTCAATATATAAATATACTTAATAATAAATTCACGAAAATGTATTAATTCATTAGGCATTGACTCATCTAAATCATTTAGATGACAGGTTATTAAATGTCTGGACTTATCGGTAATGTCGTCAATACTTAAAGTAGATAAATCACTAAAGAAACCAAATTTGGTTGAAAAGTCATTGTAGGCACTTTTCCTGTAGGAAAAAAAATTTCAAGGATTAATTTATCAGTAATAACATTAAATACAGTTATCCTAAAATCGTCCCTAGCGTTAAATAGAGTTTCATTATCACTGGTTCCATCAAATTGTCGTTTCCGTTTCACTTTTCTCCGCATATTCTTTCTTAACGAACAATTCTATGGCCCCTCTTTCATATTCCTTAAATGATTTAGTATTATCTAGATTTCTAATTTCAGAGAAATATTTTTCCAATGAGCTATATAAATCTGCAGCAAGTTGTAGATCAATATCCACCATTTGAAGCTTTTTATTGACCGCATCTAATCTATTTAAAACGTCTGTCCAAAATACCTCCATAAAACCCATTTCTAGGCTTTCGAATTTTTTTAAGGAGACTAGAAGCATCTAATCGGGTTTTAGGCTTTTCGGTATCGTCTTCAGAAATTTACTCCAACGTGGATTTTATTTCATTGAAAGACAAAGACAGTGATTGGCAAGCTTTATTTCGTAGAGACCAACGTGTTTTTGATAATTTTTTTTTAATGTTTTTGAAATTTTCAACAAATAAAGGTTAAAAAAAGATAAATATTTTAGTATGCTCAAAATTTGCCGTCCCTAAAAATCTGCCGCCCCAGGCCCGGGCGCATTTTTGTATCGAGCGTCCAGTAAACCGAATCTCGAATGCCCGAGCTCGAAACGTATCGAGCGCACGGTAATCCGACAAAACTCGGACTACCGTACGCTCGATTCATTTCATGCGAAACCTATGTTTATAAAACTGTTAGTAAATAATGATAAGTATGGTTTGAAAAAGGATTAGGTGAATAAAAAAAAGTAGTAAATTAAACGTTATAAAAATATATTACAAACAAAATTCTAAAATGTAAAAAAAATGGTAAACGAAAAAAACACACGGACAAACTCTATAACTCTAAATATTTATTTGGCAAATTTATTTTCACCGAGCCCAACATTTTTATTAACGCAACTATTAAGCGAATGAGGAGCTTTAGATTTATTTACTCTAAGACTTCCGACTTTTCGTCCCGCCTGCATTGCTCTTCTACCTGTCATTTTTATTTTTCTCCGAGAAACAGATGTTGGCTGAACTGCATTTTTTTGCCTTTTCTCGTAATTTTTTTTGATCCGACAGTCAAAGATCGCGGCAAGTGATCAAATTTGAAAGCTGTGTGTAAACCACTCATAAGGGTTGAACTGCTATTTATATTTTTATGGTAATTCTTCATAAATTGTTCAACGGCTGGACAGAAGCCTATATTGGATCAGCTTCTAATTTTTTAATGATATCTGCATTAAATTTGAAAATAAATTCACACCATTCTTTTTTAACGTCATTATTGTTGATTTCAGAATATTCCATATATGGTTCGCTATTTGTGGAGTCAATACTTTTACAGTCGTCGTCGTTACTTGTATATTCTGCAATAGGCGTAGGTAAATCATTTTCGGGAAAGTCGACTAGTTTGAGAGGTAACATGATTTTTTCCGACGGTTCTTTTCCAGTAGCGATCAAGTACAATATTTTCCTACTTTCGAGTGACAAAGTATTGCAAGCGTTTGTTATATTAAAGTGTTTTATTATTGCAGATTGATGCTTGCATATTTTTCCAGTGTTACCTACAGGGCAAGAACATATATTGCTTTTCATATCGACGAAATATTCTATTCCTTCATGAGAACTGCTTAGGACATGGTACTGCATTTCACTCAATTCTTTTATTTGGTTTGGCGAAACATCTTTATCATTTGGAGATAACCGATTTAACGTTGACTTGCTAATCTTATTCATTATTAAATCAAGTAGTCTTTGTTTATAGTAACTATCGAAACTACTAATGATGAAATCAGTTAACTGTGTAAGGTTATATGCTTTAGTTCTTTCCAGGGAGATATCTTTGAAGAGACGAAACATTACTTCGACATAGTTATTTGTATCAGCTCCACGTATCATTAAAGATTGGCGATAATACAAACACCATACTTCAATTTGTTCAATTTTACTTTCAATGTATTTTTTGTATTGTGGATATTGATAATATTGGTAAAACAACGCCAAGCTTTTCTCCAGACTTTCTTTCGTTTTTGACATGAGAATGTTCCTAAATAATTTATACAACGATTGTCTATATTCCTTTTAATTTCATTTTTAGCGAGCTGTAACCATTTCCATACAGCTTTTAAAACATGGAAACTGCAAAGTAGTAAACTCGATTTTGGCCAATATTTTTTAAAACATTTCGTTCTGATAAATCATCATCTGTCATTATGACTGCAGGCGAAATTTTAAAAGGCATTATTTCTACCAAATCTTTTAAAGCACAATCAAAAATAGAGGCTTTTTGGCTATTTGTAATTATGCATCCTAATGGTATACCCCTGCTGGTGATTGGGTGGCAAAGAAATATAACTTGTGATTTTGCACATCGCAATTACTCGTAGCATCCACGAATAATATTTCTGATGCCTGAATTAAGTGCCTTGTAGCACGCTGCATTATTGGGGTGCATAATGAAACAGCATAGTCTTCTTCGTTATGTGTAATTTTAAAAACTGTGCCAATGGAATGTTTTAAATTTTTTTCCAATTGGAAAAACATATTTTCACCTGATCTATCGCCATAATGGCCTTTGAAATGAGCTTTCCACAAGTTGGAAAAATCTTCTTTAGAAGGAAAATAGTGTCTGTCACATACCATTTCATCGTATTGGTCACCTAGCTCTTCCATTTTACTAAAGCAGAAACTGTTATAAGCTGAAGCAACTGAATGTCCCCTTTCAAACAATTGAAAAATTTCTTCCTTTGTTTCTTTCCCTATTGGCCTTTTTGTCAAAGCTGCCACACTATTTATTGTATGATTGTGGTCATTTTTGATAGTAATAATACATGGCCATTCTTGAAGCAAATTGTCAACATGCTTAGGCTTGGTTCGGGGATGAAATACTTGTTTCTTAATAACGACTAGTAATTCTGCAGGACAATTAATATTTATGGAAGAATGTTCCCTTTTTCGACCTTCTTTCAATTTATTTGTTTTTGTTTTAAACTGGCAATGATAGATTCTTTTAAACACATGCTGTCGGGCTTTTTCGGTTGGAGTAGCTATGGTTTTAGTGATATACCACGTATTTTTTTGATATTAGTTCCAGATCGTGAACCCATTGCTAGAAAAAATGTAGGTACTTCAGAACTATGCCACATGCGCAGGCGTAAAGAGGATATTTTTTGTGTGGAATTAATTTCTTTTTACATGATATAAACTTAAACTATATTTATTTTTTTGGAGCCGTGTATTTTCCTAATGAATTTTTACCATAGGTGATGGCTTTCATTGACATTACAGTGATTTATTTGTTTTTTGATAATTATTGTTAGGATTGGAAAGTGAAATTTGTTTTCTTCTATCTCATCCCATTACCCAAAAGTTAATAATCCATCAAAATATATGAATCGGTACCTACAATCTTTTCTAAATCACCTATTTAAAAATTGAAACATTCAGCAAAAAATCACGCTTATGCCAATAAAAACCTCCATCCATTGTAAAAAATCTTATATCTTTAATCGTTTTGCCATCATAATTAAAATCAATATAAAATAAGTAACTGCTGATTTTTATTTGTTTAAAGCTCCAAAATAGTTAAGGACATAAAATATTCTTTGCATATTTAGTAAAATCGAAAAATTCAATAATATACAGGGTATTTTTAAAAAATGATCAAAGTTGCTACTACTTTTTGATGATGCGGCAACGTCGCAGCTCTTAAAAGATTTTAGATCGATAGAGCATCATCGTATATGTAAACAATAAAAAATTCAGAAAAATCCTATGAATCGTTCTCCGTACTTATATGTCTAATTAAGCCGCGTACAGACAGAACAAAACATCGTATCGTAACGTCGTCGCGCAACAGTTTGTTGTTACGCATCGACCAACGGCCCGTTTCATTTAAATTGCATTAGTGTTGCAGAGTACGATGTACCGTCCACACTTGTTGCGCGACGATGTTACGATACGATGTTTTGTTCTATATCTGTACGCCGCTTGGCAACCGATTAAATATTTACCTTATTGTATAATGGTTATTTTGCATAGTAGGCAAAAAATTACAAAAACGTCCCGAGGTAAGTTAACAAGGATGCCAGAATATGATACAACCTTACAAAAATAATTTAAAGTTAAAAGTTTATGCTTAATCAAAATTCATGCAAATTGCATCCCATTCTAAAGCACCCTGTATATTTGGAAATTGAAACATTGGGCGGATTCAGCAGAAGAAATCGATTACTAAAAATGCGTTCGGATAGTACACTTTTTACGCAATTTAGTATTTTTTAGTACGATTATTTTTTGGGAAAAATTGTTCTGATTAGTAATCGATTAGTATAATCGATTTGTTCTGCTGAATCCGCCCATTTAGCAAAAAACTAATAAATCACTGTGATGTCAATGAAAGCCACCC